ACTAGGTAAGCTGTCCTAAAAGATTCATGTTGCCACTTACCGATCAGCCCTTCACCGACGCTTCCTGACAACTCGCCTCGTGGACGACTCCGAGGCCGTGTCAATCTCACGCCTTTAACAATTCTACCTGTATAAAGCCCGCTATCTCGTTCATTCCTCTTTGAAGCAGATCGCATAGTAATGCGTAGTGTACCCGAATGCAAACATGAGCCTGAGGTGCTAGAGGCCAGGAAGTTACATCGCTTCAGGGTCTTTGCACAAGCTTTCGGGCTTCTAGGGTCGCATAGTCGCAGCCCAGCCACTGCGTCCTCCGGCTGCCAGGAGCACGCAACAAGCGTCGAAAGGGACAACAGAAGAAGCCGCAGGCCAACTCCATTGCGCTGGATCATTGCCACTCGCAGGAGTTGGATGGGTGTGTTAACTTGGAGTTGCCTCTGGGTCACAGTCACAGATTGCCTCTTCTGCGTGGTTTTTGCTGGCAAACACTTGAAATTGCCAAACTCGCCACAGCTTATGCAAGGTCGCTACACCCAAAACTTTGCTCTGCTCCGCCGAATCTCAGGCTGCCACTGCCGCAGAGTGCTGCCAGCTTGAGCTCCTTTCCTTTGTTGGAGCGACCTTGTCATGTTCCGAAACTTCACTTCGACTCCTTGACAGGCACATACCCTCACATACTCGCTTCACATTCTCAGGCTTGGGCTCACGGAGCAACCGAATTTCCTGCATCGTCGCTTCCGAACTCTGGAACATAACTCTGGCCCTCGACTGCGCAGTCATGCAGTTGCGGTGTCGTAGCTTTCACAAATGCTGTCACACTCTTCGAGTGCTCTTTCATGCACACCATATCTTCGTGGGATGTTTTACCTGAGAAATCTCTCGATCTATCCTTGGCGCCACTTCCGCATGGAACACTGCATTACTGCACAATCTGGCTCCTTCACCAGCTCCTGCGTTTGCTGTCGCAAAAGCCGCGTCCTGACGGCTCAACGGATTGTAATTCTAAGGCACAGGGTGATGATGACCAGCAACAAAGACTGCCAGACTGCCGCGTGCCATGGTGGCCCCGACTGAGCAGCCAGCTCTGCTGCTAGCGAAGAAGTCTCTTGACTCGAAGGCGGCACCTAATACACCAACGTTTCCCCTATCCGCCCTATCCAAAAACCTACGCAGCTGAAGGTGCATGTGGCCGGCATGGATGTTTGCAGCTTGGCCACTCTGCCTAAGACCTCTTCCATGGCTGCCCGCTCCTGTCGGACGAACGACTGAACAGCTTGCTGCTCTGCCGAATTGTCCTCGATGCACCTCTTGTGGGTGTAGATTCTCGCAACTCGACTCTGGAGGCGAGTTGTAGAGTCATTTCAGGCTACTGGAATCATGCACAGCCTCCAGGGCACTTAGGGCATAGGGGTCTCTTTTCATCCAGCAATGTTGGCAAGAAGGTGACCTGACTACGTCCGATCCTTGTCTCGTGAGTTGTATTCACACCCTCCCGCGGTCTAACACAGCTCTGGTTTCTCTTGCTTGGTCGTTCTGTTTTCCAAGCAGAAGCGGCAATACCAAACATCTCCATCCAAAGCCTGTCGTGAACTCTGAGCCCTTGAAGCCTTGGGGCCCTGAGCCTTTCAACCCCAGACGACCTGGTCCGCAGTCCACTCTTCACCGGGCCCAGCCTTAAAAGGATGCAGCTCACGCAAGTCCTACTAGAGTATGTTTGAGGAGGAACTTCTGCACCGTGTTCATGCAGGCTCTAGTCTGGTCAGTCCAGTCGTTGAAAACAATCCAACGCGGAGCACGTGTACCTTCATGCTTTTCCTGTCGTCTCAACCGAAACTGAATCAGACTTTCATCAGCTTCTGCAAGCTACTTTATCATGAAAGCCGAGCTCGAGGCAGGTGAGTATGTGGCAAGCACTGCTGTCTTAGACCGCCGAGACTTCTGCAGAGCTGCAGACCTTGATTGTCACAAATTGACAGAGCGAACGTCTTGCAAAGGGGGATCGTGTCCAAACCACAACTTGGGCAATTGCCCGCCCGTCAGGGATGCCTCTGAATGGAATGTGATGGCCAACAACAGTGCTGGCAACAGCGTCTTGCCAAGCCTGTCTGTCTTGTAGATGCAGAAATCGTATGCTAGATGGCAAGCTCCATGAAGCTACAGCGCCTCAGCACTGAGGAGAGCGTCACAGGCCAAAACAAGAGGCTCATTCGAAGCGCCCGGCATGCAAAAACCAAGGGTAATCTCCGGCTCGATCTCCCTCTCGTGCCTGATGCATCTTTCAAGAACTCTCTGCAACAGCAGCTTTTCGTGGCAAATTGGGCGGCAGCCTGTGAAGCTTCTATGTCCTTCAGACATAGCCCAAGGCTGCCCTAACAAAACCACAAAACTGTACTGCTCAGAGCCATGCAATGGCTTGCACCGGAACAGCAGAAATGGTGCTGGAGACTGCTACAGCAGATAGCAGCCTGCGCTCCAAAATGCTGTGGCGGTTTGATCTAGCTCTGCGCATATTTCAACGTGGCGGTTTTGAGGCAGTGCGCATCTTGCGCACCACATCGCACTGTGCATTAACATGGCCCATGGCAGTGCAGCACTCGTCCCTCTGTGGGTGTAGTTTGCATCTTGTTGTATGCCTTGCTAGTCCTTGTGTGCCGTTCATGCAGGCCCGACTGTCAGATTGCCGGCATTGTTTGCAGGCAGATCAGCTTCAGGTGGCGACGACATGCGGTGACGCACAGAGCGCAAAGCCGCAGTCGTGCCAAGCCAGCTCAAGAGATCGCAAACTCCTTACTCACGGTCTTTGTACAAACTGCTGCGCACCGTTTGGATCCACCTACTGCTGCAGTCGAGCATCCCGGATTACGGTCTCGAGCTCTGTGACGATGTGCGTCATCGCAGGGCGCTGATCCGGCTGGGCCTGCAAATCTTGCGAGGTGCTGTAGAAGAGGTTGCCAGAAGATGCTCTGAGGCGCAGACTGACAGCGCAGACCGCAGCAAATTCCTCGAGTCGTGCTTCTTACACTCACGCTGCTTAGGCATTCCGACATTCCAGCCAAGTCACTTCAAAGACTTTGGCCAGCTGTGCGGGACGCTCAGGCCAGCAAACTCCTGAGTCTTGCGGTGGCGTTTGGACGACCTAGGACGACTTATGGATAGTCTGACCTTGGTCTGCACGCGGTGGGCGATGTCCGGCGCATCAAGGTTGGCATGTGGAATTTCAGAAGCCGCAACCTTGCAGGAAGTTGCATGTGCCTGTCAGTCCAATGAGGCATCTGCACACAGCCTCCCAGACCATGGTCCCAAATGCGAAAACATCAACCTCCCAGCAGGCGAAGTGAATGTGATGCGAACGGCACAAGATTTCCACACCGAGATTCCGGCAGTCTCGTCATACTTACGTTTCGCAAAGAGCTCTGGTGCCTGAAGGACACTCTTGCTATTCGGGCTTCTGCCTTGCTTGAAAAGTTGTTGAGACGGCGGCCATGTACGGAGCAGTGCCAGCCCATTGCATTGACCCAGTGCCTCGAGCTCAATGTGCTTTCAAAGATGCACACTGCGTGCCTCTGCCAAATCATCGCGGTGCCCCGCTCACCCAATCTTGATAAGCCACTATGGGTAAGCCGGCTCTTCTACCACTCCAGAACATACATCAGCTTGGGTCCGATAGCAGCAGATCCTGATGCTTTCAGAAGCTCCACACTTGCACAAATCGTCCGCATAACATGCACACTCAGCACTCTCATGCGAAGTGTTATCTTATCTTACATCATACTCTATTCTGGGACCAAGCCCAGGGGGGCTTAAGGCTTTGTAACAAAGCGGCTGGGCTTCTTGTCATGAGGCCAACGCACAGCTCCGAACGCATCCGTGCCAGCCCGAAGTCGCAAAGCTTGGCGATAGGCCTGGCGCTGCGAAGTACTATGTTTCAGCTTCAGGGTTCGCTTTCCGCAATTGTGGCGAGTTGCACGGCGGTCTACTCGGAATACGAGTGCCGTAGCAGTAACAGCCGCAGCAGCAGCTACAGCAGCTGTCGTAGTGCTAAGATCAGGAGCAGTAGCCGCGTCGTCGTGTCAGTAGGTGGTGGTGGCACCAACAGCGGCATTCACAGCAATGATAGCACCCAGGACGGCAGAAGCAGTGGTAGCAGCAGTGGACATGATGGCAGCAACTACGAAGACTGCCGCGCGATGTTTTAATGATATCCTCCAGCGCTGATCCTCTTCATGCATTCGAGCCATGAAGCCCGGAATCTTCAAGAATTCACGCTGCTTCGCCGCTTTGCCACCCAGAGGGGCGTGAATGTTATCACGAATATGCCGTCTAGAAGAAATGACCTCAGCAGAAGCACCAAATGATTAACAACTCTGGGTCATCGGGCAGCCACTGGCTAGGATGCAAGTCGGCCCGGCCTGTTGCCTTCGGTGAGGAGCACATTCTGAGACCTCGAGGCAGTTGTTGTGGCAGAGCTTCTCATCCAAGTTACAACGGCCCAAATGCTCTTCGCTGTCGTGTCTGTAAACATGGAGCTGTGCTTTCTGGTCTTCACACAGCCATCTCGGGCCCCAAAAGCATGAGGCGATGCCATGCCTCCAAGTGCGTGCCGGGCCCCTAAAAATGTTGTTCTACGGGCTCGCGACTCATGCACAAGCCACGTCGGAGCAAAGCTTCTGCACTAGATTCAACCGGCGGCAAATGACATGGAGCCGGCACGAGCCAGCTTTTGCTGTGCATGGCGCACTAGTGCAGGTATCGGTGTTGCACACAAATTCACAACTGCGCGGCACGTTCGACGTATTTATCCTCCAGTACAGCTTGTCCACGCAGAAAGAACCTCAGCCTTAGCCCACATCCGCCCAAGACTTGCTTTGGACGTGACTTCTCCGGCGTCTGCGACTGCATCGCAGCAATAGTTCGCCCCACTGGCGCGACTTGTACGATTGCTGACAGCAACACGGCGTGCAGGTAATGGACACTGTTGGGGCAACCGCACATTGTTGCACACGTCACGCGTTGTGTTGCTCGTACATGAAACTGCACAACAAGGACTGCTCTCGAAATGCCGATACCGATCTCAAGTTCGACACACGCATGCTCCAGGTGTACCGCTGGGGTCTGGGCTTGATGTCCCTGTGGACAACCTCGAAAAACAGACTGGAGTTTAGAACTGCTGTGTTCGATCGGTGCGCAGAAGCCAAGCCGGCGACCATCATAGCATGCAGGTAAGCGAGCGCAACTCCAGCCTTCCAGTGAGGCTTTCGGCTTCACTTCCGGGATGCATTGCGAAGCCCCGGTCCCTGCCTGGCGCACGACAGGCAACCTCACATGACACGAATTGCGGCAGTTGCAGTCGATCTTTCTTCCAGTCGCCAAGCAGCAGAGTCGCAGGGTCGGCCTCGAGTGAACCTCGAGGCCTTGGCCTCGGACACTGAGCTCCAAAAGAGAACGGCCCTTGCCTTTCACACTTTGAGCTTCTTTGAGTTCCTTGCGCTGTGCCATGAAGGATCTCAAACAAGGAGCCTCCAAACACCTGGCAGGCTATCCATGGCCGATTTTTTTGAACAAGGAAGCCACCCGCTGACCGGGGCATCGGACCATTTCGGTAAGGATGCTCAGTGCCGGAGGTGTCCTGCACACTGCCATGAGTGTCACGACCTGAGCTTGGAGAGATACTCGGCGGTAGACAGAGAGCTTGTTGCGACGGACGGCTCCCGTGATGTGCCACTTGAAGCAATTCCCCTGTGAGGTCGAGTCATTAGGATGTCGCAATCGCCTCAGCATCTGCACCTCGTTTCGACTCTAGGGCGACATGTTCGGCGACAAGCTGCAAAGTGCTGAATAATGACGAGGCTTTTAAGGCCTGTGTGATCGTTCTCATAAGATACACAAGAAAAACCGGCGACATGCTGCGATCAACCGCCTCGTTCTCAAACTCTGCTTTGAGCTCCTCCTCGAATGGCAGCAGGATTCTTTAAATGGATGAGGTCGCAGACAAGCCAGAAGAAAAGTCTGGATAATTTTACAAAGACCAACACCTGTACCAGTACCAGATGAAGCCGGACTGAATTTCGATGAGGTGCTGTGAGAACTGGATCGAAGATTTTCTTCAAGGCACATGGTGTGCACATCCAAGTTGCATAATGCCTGAGATGCACTGCTCACAGAAATTGGAGCTGGAGCCCCGCGGGGTGGTATGGACAAGGGAAGCAGAGACAGGCCTTCAAAGAAGGCAGACGGGCTGAGCTCTTCGCACGGAAGAGAACCCACCTTGAGCGAGCATGTTGCCCACCGCCACCTGCAGAGAAGCTCGACCCTTGGCGAATGTCTCAGCATGACTCAGCTTTGGCTTCAAAAAGCCTCTTCCAAGGCGAACTTGGGCAACCCATCGTCTTGGGCCTGGCATCGCACACCGCATTACAGAAATCTGTGAACATTCAAACGCTCTGCTTTGCCTTTGAGTGTCAACATGCTCTGCGCAGCCCAAATCCAAACCACACGCTGTAGGTCGACACGTCTCAAAGCTCAGCTTGGCATCGGACAGAGAACATCTCTGACTCTTGAAGACGCTGAGAAAGTCGCTGAACCTCCTGTAGGGCTGTAGGGTCAGAGTCGAGTCCGGGTGCCAGATGCCAAGCCATCCACAGAAATCCCAACTCCCCAAAAGAGACCTTGATCAAGTGGCTCCCAACGTATGCAAAATCACCGAGTTCCTGCTGGAGACGCTTGATTTTTCGTGGGTCCTCGCTTCTCCTGCAGCCCAACACGGTGTGTGAATTCGACTCGGCTGCTATGATCTGAGTCTCCGTCACGGCATCCCCTTCCGAAGCAGCGCCCGGGCTTTCACCAGGTCTCGCCTCGGGAAACACGCCAGCTGCGCTGCATCTGGGCACATCAACCGCGGAGAAAAGCAGCACAAAGCCAGACGAAAAGAGGCACGAAGCCGGTGCGCAGGCACGCTTTTTGAAGCTAAGCTCCAACTTACACAGCTACGGCGACTCCTCTAAGAGGTCATCACATGCCGCATTCGGCATATTCTTCTAGGCATGTCGTCACCGTGGGTCTGGACGTGCTGCAGCGGTCTCATGCGCATCTGCCACACTAGTACAAGCTCACCTTGGTGCTGGTCGGCCAGAACTCACTCCAGTACAGTAAGTCGAACGTTCCAGTGAATCTCTAGGCTTACATCACTCGGCAAGACCCGAACAGAGCCGAGCAGCTTTTTTTTGTTTTTGATCGGGGAGCTGCTGCATGACCTGCATGTGGTCAAGGACGGCCATGCCCTTTTCAACGTCGCCGGCCAATGCTGTTTGCGGATCCTCGCACAAGACTTGCAATGCTCTGTCATGCGAGCGTGTCTGCTACGGTAGGATGCTGTGTGATCGCATGAAGCCTAACTCGCTGGAGAGCTACAATTCACAAGCTCAACACAGGAAACGGCAATTCACTTGGTTTCGCCCATTCCCACCTGGAGATCTTTTGCTAAAAGCCTGCCGTCTTCCATTGACACTGCAGTGAATGCAACGGTGTCGCCAGGTTGAAATTCGCCTCTCTGAGAATGATGTATAAACACGTCTCCTGGGTAACCTTGTACCCTCAACTGGTCACAGCTGATAAATCCGAAGCCGCGCTCGAAATTGAAACACTTGAACTCTCCGATGAAAATGCCCAGCTCTTCGGGGAGACCTCCGGCAGACCCCACCTGACCTGTGGCATCTTGGACTTCGCGTCCTTGCAACTTCCCATTGTACAAATAAGCCTCGAACTTCACCTCAGAACCCACTTGGAAACCTGCACAGCCATCTCCGTGAACGTAAACATCGCTGTAGTAGAAATCCTTCAGAGGCTTGCACATGATGAAACCGAAGCCCTTCTGTGCATCATAGGCCTTCACAAAGCCAAAATACTCGCCTAGCTCCTCCACGGAATGGGCCACATTGGCCGCAGCTTCCATGCCCTTAGCATCTGCCACCCCAGGGACTCCGGGGGCATCTTTGGCCGGACCCGAAAACTCCTCCATCCTGACGGTTCCCCCCTTGGTGCTGTAGACCCTCCTCGGCACCACGACGCCTGCGCCTGCTGCGGGCATCGCAGAGCTCATGTTGCTTCCGCCGGCTGCCATCATGGGACTCGCGGCTGTCGCGGCAGTCGGCTCTCCCATGGATCTGGACATGAAGCTTGGAGGAGTCGGCGGGTCGGTCTGCAAGTCGATAGCTTGGGGCTCGGACGAATCGTTAAGTGTTACAGCAAAGCTGACACTCTGGCCCTCTCTAAAGCCGGCTATGTGCTCAGGTGCCACACATACATCGCATTCAAAAACTTGTCGAAGTTCGGGACAACGAATGAAACTCATGTCATTTTTGCTAACTGTCAAAACGACGCCGTTACATCTCCTTTGCGTGACGGCTTTGGCTGGTGCATATGTGAGCTCGGGGCAAGCGAACGTTACAAGGCCAGGCGCCAGCTCCGGTTTGCTCTGCATCAGCTCGCCGATGATGAAATGCAGCGTGTTGTCGTCCAGCGACACCAAAAGGTCAAGCACCATTTTAGAATCCATACTGTCGGCAGATCGTCTGCCTATCTAGGCTATAGGAAATTCTTGAGCCAACTGGCTCGTGAAGCGAGGCGACCGCATGCGTCTGCGGCTTCCTCTGCTGCTCTGCAGAGAGGTTGCAGACTGAGGATCGGCTCAGGGGGGTACCATACATATTATATATATATATATATATATGTATATATACACATGGGTATGCTGCACATTTACTCCGACAAGTCTGGCATTCCTTAGAACATCCAGAAGCCTCAGTTGCCAGAGAAGTCACACAGCAACTATTTTCCAGCATGGTCTATCAGGAATTATCAGGAGGGCTTTTCGCTTGCCTCCTTCCACTTTGTTGGAAAAACGCAATCCTGTACATACCTTATGCCAACGCCAGCATATAGCTGTTGTACAGCACACTCAGCAAGGCATATAGGAAGGCTGGCAAAAAGGCCTGATTGAAAGAGAATGTCACGGCGGCCGAGGTGACAAGGTGAGTCTGGCTCTTGCGCACGTGTACGGACAGTTTCTCATGACAGTAGGATGGTTCGGATCTGTGTCAGCTGTGCAAGCTTGCCAATTGTCCTGCATCTCCGTGCAAGAGCAGCCCTCGGCCCTTGTGCAGCCTGCCTGTTCTACACCGGGCCACATTCGCCATGCCTGCTCTGCTGGGCTTGCATACGGGCTTGCGCCGCCGGTTAGTGACGAGCCTCCACATGTCGTTGCTGCGCAATTGAAAGGAGCTTGCCCATAACTGGCCAGCGCCGTCTCAACAGCTGACGTGCAGCAATTTCCGGGGTAACAAAGGTCATGTAGTCCTGCACATACTGGCACATGGAATCCGCATTTCCATCCGTGGGCACTGACAGTTGCTGCATGCATGTTGCTGCAGCCACGGCCGCATCAGCATCACATCCCCCAACGTCGCCTGAGCCGCTGTCACCTGTGTTGCTGTTACCTCCACATGTCGTTCCAGCACAATTGACAGGAGCTTGCGCATAACTGGCCAGCGCCGTCTCAACAGCTGACGTGCAGCAATCTCCGGGGTAGCAAGTCATGCACATACTGGCACATGGAATCCGCAGTTCCATCAGTGGGCACTGACAGTTGCTGCATGCATGTTGCTGCAGCCGTGAAAGCATCAGCATTACATGTCCCCACGACGTCTTGTGGCATCCACGAAGTGAGGACCATGATCAAAAAGAGATGCCGGGACATACCGTGCAGCCCTTCTGCGTTCGCAACGGGGAAGCAATGTGGCGTGATAGGCTTGGATTTGAGACCTACGATCGCGGGACCTACATGCTGCTGAGTGCTTGCGACGGAGGGCTGAGGCTGACTTCAGGCGAGGGGCACGGCGTCCCCCACGAGGTGGATCTGGATCTATCCTTAAAGCAAATTGGCTTCCGTAAGGAAATGCAAGTGTCCCGTGCTCGGAGCCAGGCGACCCGGAGCTTGGAAGGGCCTCAGAGTGCAGTACATCCAGACCCGAGGAAAAAACAAGCCTCTGTGGAAGCAACATGCCTCAGCTTTCTCGTTGCAGGTCGACAGCCCTGTGAGGCCAGAAAGTTGGGGCTGCGGCATCTTTGTTGCGTGCACCTCTTCCGTCATGCTGCAGCCTGGCCAGGCGATCAGCTCGAGGCTCAAGGCTCATGCTCCTCCAGCATCGAGCTGAAGCTACAGCACTATCAGGTGGCGGCCACAACGGCTTTGAATCTTTCGGTGGGGCTGCCGGCGAGATAACCTTCGCTAAGGCAGTTAAGAAGGAGCGGATCCTCTCAGGATGTCCTCAAGCGGCCAGTTGTGGGCATCCAAGGCTCCGGCACCCTGAGTGGAGCTGTCACCTGTCCCTGGCCGATGGTCCTCCCCAACCGATACTTTCCCTCGCCTTCAGTCGGATGTGCGTGTCTACCACTTCTAAGTTTCATCGCCAACACAATGTCAACACGTGAGTCGCCGGCACAACCCGCCGCCCTGTGCTTGGAGCACTCCCCATGCTCCTGCTGCAAAATTCTTTCGAGGCCACTGTGCGGCAACTGCATGCAAAAGCAGTGGACTTACTCTGGTCGGGATCTGCATCACGACACAACAGAAACTGTTGGCGGTGTCTCCACAAGGAGCAGTCGAGCGAAACCGGCTAAAACAAATACAGGAAGCCAACAAGCCAAGGCCCGTAATGCGAAAAGAGATTCAGGAACAGGAGCAATGCCAGTCGCTCAAGATCGGGACGTATTTTTGTCAAGATGGTAAAAGCTCAACAAGGCAAGGGTCATGGTGCTGTCTACATGGCTGTAAGTCTCAGCCATCTGCTTTACATTGCTAGATAAAGAGAACACTACCAGGTACACTACCACCGTGCCAAGGTCGCGGTCCTTCCGTTTTCCAGCTGGTCATCCTGGACACATGCATTGTACTACCCCAGACTCACCAGATGGTGCAGCGTTCGGGCTGGGTCCCGGTCCAGGCTCGTAAGAACAGGAAGACCCTCTGCAACGATGAGCGCACCTGAGCCTGCCCGTGCTGCTCAAGAGCCACCAAACCTCGCCGACCTCTAACCCGCTGTGCCAAAACTGGCCGGGGAGGCCCGTGCGACTGACGCGCGGATCCTCAGGCGGCTAGGGCGGTCAGTGAGTCAGTGAGTCAAGCCGAAAAGACTCCGAAGAGTGAGTTCGCTTCAGAATTCGCTCGTCCTGGCCTTCTCGACAGGCACCGACACGGAATGTCGGTGATCCGCCTCGCCCGCTCTCAGGCGTGGCGACTTGCGCTGAACTGCCCTTCGCCGACTTCCGTTGGGCCTTCACGGGACTTCCTCGGCTCCCGGATCGGCCCAAGGAGGGCTCTCGCCGGATGGGCAAGCGAGCCTGCCAGGTTTCCGACTGCCGAACGGGCAACCCTTCGGCATGCATGAAGGCTTAAGGTTTGGCTCAAAGTGTGGAGCTTGGATACAAATGGCATGAAAAAGCTCGGCCTCTGCAGGCGATGTCTGCGGAGTCGATGGCCTGAAAACCCAGGCTCATGACTCGCTTGATGGGGGCGTACTACAGCAATTATCTCTCGTGATGAGCCTCGGCGGCTTATCCGTCCTTGCTGAGACTGGCCTTGTAGAAACGCGTCGCCATCAACCGTTTGTGCGATCAAGCAAAATCGGAACCCGACAGCGCCGGAGGATCTGCAGCAGGTGCCTTTCAAATCGGTTTTTCTCGCCCTGTGCCAGGACGTGCTGTCGAGCCTCGCGGTCATCGTCCGAGGCATCCTGAGAGCATTCATCACATTCCATTCAGCAAGGCACAAGCCACCTTGCCATGTCAGCCACGACGCCTCTTCTTCAAAGTCATCGTCCTCGGTGAGCAGTTATGTCCGCACGGCTCCATCACTGCAGCACACCGTTCCAACTGCCGCTTGTCACCAGCTGCACCCCGACAAATCCGCCAAGTCTCGTAGGCTCCTTCACCCTCGGCCTCCAATGAAGTCATTACCTTCCTGCAAGCCAGGCGGTCACAACGTTTGTCGCTATGCCAGTGGCAGTATCCAGCCTTCAGCCGCCATGCCAACGAACGGCCAAGGTGGCGTTCGAATTCTGTCGGGACTCTTTGCTAAGGTGACAGCAGCTCGTGCAGGCCGCACAGTTCCCTGAAAGGACATGCGATGGGAGTAGTGCCGATCTCAAAATATCCCTGAATGCTTGTGATCTCATGCCAGTAAAACATTGCGTGGAATGCATGCAAAAGCTGCTTGCCTTTGGGCCGGGTCTCGGCAGGCAAGGAACTCGGACCACAGATCCTCAACGGACGGCGGCCTGAGAATCCCCCGGATCATGACCGTGGAAAGTCGTGGGATACCTATGGGCCTCGTTTATGACAGCCGGCCTTTGACGGGCGAATCCGGTGCATTTCATCCATATTCCGATGACTCATATTTTTGATGGCCTTTGCAGCTCCAGGGGTCAGACAACCCCTTGCAACTGGCGACTTTTTCCCTCCACTGGACAACCGGTGCCATGTGGCGTCAGACCGACACCGGCCCCGAGCACGCTCGTAGTGCTCCACCACATGGGCTCGATCACCCACGGGCTGAAACCACGGGCCGGGGCGATGCCCTGGGCTGCACTTCTGCAGAAGCGGGCTTAGCCTTTTTCTGGCCATTCCAGCAAAGAGCAAAAGCCCTGAGGCTTCCCTGGTAGGTGAACAAAGCCGCTCCTCGCTTTCAAGAATCACCCTGGATCTTAGTTGCTTCAGCTGGCCTTCATGCAAGAGATGCAATCTTCTTGACTGTGACACCTCTTGCGCCAGCAAACCTCCAGCCGCTGAATGAAGGCACCAAACTCCCATGAGAGCACGTGGAGAATTACAGCTTGCAGGAGTAATCGGATACATTGCGGCATGAACACCAGGGTTCTGCTGCGGCATTTTCGATATTAAATAACTGGGCAAGGACTGCCAGAAAGGTCGATCCCATGGCCAACAGTCCACGAAAGCTCTGAAGGAAGCTCTGACAAAACCCCTACGGCCATACAATCCTCAAACGGCCAAAGGGTCCTTCGATAGAGGCATCCTTGTGAAAAAGCAAAGATGTTCGCAACACCTGGAAGTGAGACCAAATGGGCATAGGCCGTGTGACCGGCATGGGACACACTTCCACCTTTACAAGTCTTATCTCTGTCTATAACCCAGGACAACTGCACGGCCACAAGCTGCCCCCTTCTACAACAATTACATCGTCAATCGAGCTCAGCATCCAACGCCACTACTTCAAGAGCGTCGCTGGCTTGACCGTCACTGAGGCTGTCCAAGCTCTCGCCTGCACTCAACAGAATCCGCTGAGCGTGGCAGGTTCGTCTGGGGGCTTCTTTTGATCTCAAACCCTAGCTGAGAGTCGCGCCAATAAACGAGTCCAGTGTTCCATGAACAACCTGTGACATCATCTCCTGAGATCAGCACATCCCTTTGCCGGCCGGAAACAGATCCCCCCAAATCAGACCTAACCGGTCGTATGCTAGTCTAGGTACCATGGGCAGAAGGCACAACAACCCCCTCAGGGTGAAAGCGTTGGCACGAATGTGTCAGTGTCGACAGCATCTCGGCCCGGGTCTTCTACGCTGTTCATGCATCCCAGTCTACCCTGGAGGTCACTCGGGGCAGGTTTCCCAAAGCTCGGATGTGTTGCAAAGATAGATTCGTGGGCAAGCTGGGCAAGCCACGCGAAGCTCGATGATGCGCAGGTCACACAGCCGTCCATGATATGCACTCGCCCCCTCCGAGACATATACATCCAAGATCATCCGAGGCTGCAGCTTCGATTACTGCTTCGTGAACCTTCTTTCGCTCCGCCTTGCACAGCCGGACATGGTTTCACCAGAGTCGACATCCGCCGACGTGAGTTGACAGAAATTATTCGAAGGCAGACTGCTTTGGTGGCAGTCTCGCAGCTTCCCCTTTGATGGTGGTGATAGTCATTCGCCATTTAACAATCAACACATGATAGTTTACGTTCTTTGGCCTCCTTTTCCCAACGCGTCGCACCAGGGCCTCGGGATGCAAACGAAACCTCTCAAAAAATTGCAATATGAGCCTCGACTCGGCTCCGAGGATTCGGCGTGGGTTCTCTGGTGGCTGCGACGGTTTCGTAGGCTTCTGGCCTGAGTGTCTGCAGTCGTCAAGTGGCAGGAATTTAGGTTTTCGGCAGCTAAACAAGAGGGGCCCCGCGTTCTGTCTCAGCCTGCAATGCTGCGCATGCTGCATAGTATAAGAGTACACCGACCGCTGCGTACGATCTGCGGAATCTATACGGTACTTGCCAATGCCAGGCTGTCCTGGCGTCCCCGCTCGCTGCTCCGATCACGACGCGGCAGCGCGTGTGGCCGGCGCCGCCTGGTCTGACGCAAGGCGGCTCAAACGAGGTGGGTTCATATCCTCGCCCATCATCTGAAGAAATCGGCTTCTACAACCTTCAATCGAAAAGCCGAAATCCCAGCTTCATCGCGTGCCGAGAGAATGAACTGCTTGCTCGCAAGCGCACTCAGTCTTTGAGCTTCGCTCCTCATCCAAGCAGGCGGGACGCCCGGCACTACAGGAGCACTATAGACCTCAGCTCCGGGACAGCTATGTGCTGCCGATTGCCCTCCGGCAATTTAACAGCAACTCGCATGTCTGGCAGAAGTCTTTCTCCAGCCACAAGCGTGCATGCTGAAGAGTATGCAACGCTTCGGATAGAAGTGTGAACCAAGACCGCCGCAGTCTCTGCAAGCACGGCCGAAGCGACAGCCTCCGTGAAAGTCAAAGCTTGAAGCGACCCGGCAGAACCTTGTCAATAATGTTCGTTCGGCCAATATTAAGGCCATGACCCCTTGCTTACCTTGGTCCAGATTCGACTTGAAACAATGCGACTGCTGAGACAGCTCGAAAGATGATGCTTCTTGCCGGGCTGCGCGGGGACCGCGGCCCCATGGGCGGTCGAGGCGATGCAAAGGCAGGGTGGGGGTAGGACTGGCTAAAGGCTGCCGCCCGGCCTCGGCACTCTGCTAAACGTCACGAACCCTGGGCCTGAGGGAACCTCAGCCCGGCTACGAATCCTGCTGCAAAGTGTTTTTGAAGCGCTGAGGGCCAATCCTCGTGGTTCCGACACCTGGCATCTGAGTCTTAAGCCTTATCCACAGCAGCTTCTCAACTCACCCGATGCTAGGTCTGCTGTCACGGCATACGTGGGTTGAATCTGGTAGGATTTTGTGTTAGGTTGTTTTTTTCAAAGTCTTGTTCCATTTCGATGTCGATTCAGATTTGAATCACTTAGGTCCAATTAGTTCCACTATCGATTTGACATCGAGCTCGCAGACACCCTAGCGGCATTCCTGGCCTAAGAGTAAGCCTAAGATCCGCAATGCCACCATTCCGCAAAGAAACGATGCGTGCATTCTTGTATCGTGCTACCTCCGGGTCTCGTCTACTTGAAGCCCCTGTCGTGAATGGGGGAATCTGGGGTGAATCGAAAACTGCATTGGGGCAGCTTGGGAAGATCACGAGTGAATCGGAACGTGAATTGAGGAGGCTGAGGAAATGAATTGAAAGTGAATTCGAACTCACATTCAATTCACCCCTCGTGAACTCCCCGTACCCCCGCCGCCGGCCACGTCAGCATTTCCAGCGTGAACGTACACACGTGTGTGTTGAATGCTCAACCGAGCTGAAAGCGTATCACTCGTCATAGCCCAACAACCAGTCAAGCACCTGGCGCTGGGGTGATTTGTGTGTGTGTGTGTTGTTTTGTGCTGCGTTGGCCACGGTTGTTTCGGACGACGGTTCATAAATTTCGGTGGTGGTGGGGCTGGAGCTGAGCTGCGAGTGTGCGAGAGGCGGGTTTCGGCTTGCCCTTCCTGTTACTTTGGGAGAATCCTGAGCTGCCAGCAGCGCCTGATTTAGCAGGAATGAGTCGTCTGATCCTCTGTCATTCGAAAAAAAGTTTGAGTGTTGAAGGCCTTGCAGTCCATGGAGATTGAGGTATTGAGTGTCAGACCCAGACATCATGGTACAGCGTCTGGGTTCGTCCCAGGCAGGGCCCGTGCATGAGCATGGCTGTGCACTCGCCACCTTGGTGCGAATGCTGACCTTTTCCGACTTGATGGCCGGCTCTGGTCGCTATATAATCGACATAATGTAACGCCAATACCTTTTTGCTGGACTTGAAGCATCGACGTGTCGTGCGGCGGGCAGCTGTGACAAAGCTCGCAGGTGCTGACTGCGCGAAGAAACACTATGTCAGATTACGACATACAATATCGCCCGTGCGTTCTTTTTGACTTGCACACTTAGAAAGCAGGTGGACTTCTAGCCGGAAAATGCTTCCCGTTGTTCGAGGATAAGTGTAGCATGACCTGCAACACTTTTGCACCCATTCAAGCCCACACCTCTACGTCGGCGCATCTTTGCCTCCTTAGCTACAGCTCAACAATGGTCACGTCGCTGGGTCTCACCCTTCCTGCTTTCAGGATCCGGCGGGCTCTGGTCGTCCGCACCTGTTCAGGAATGCTGAGGTTGGATGTTGAGGCTAAGTGCTTTGGCGACCTGCAGAATGGACATACTTCGACACGGCACAGCCGCTGCAAGGCAGTAGCGGAAGTCCTCGAAAGTCCCAGGAGTCTCCTCTGTGACGAGGTGGCCGGCTTTCCTGCGGGGAGTATGTAGGTTCGTAGACTCGTACCCGAAAAACGTGGCCATCATGCCGGCTGTCCAGGTCAATAACAGGATCTGGAAAACTTGGAGGCGGAGACTGTTGCAGCAACGGCCCAAGTCCTCGTGTCGAGACGAGAGCACGCAGCTGTAGTTGTGACTGCTCCCTGTTCCAAGTAGAAAATAAGGGGAATGGATCCCTATCACGACCACTTGCTGTAGCCCCTGTATAACCCATTCCCCCGAACCCTAGTCAGAACCAGAAAAACCCTCGTGGCACATCAAGAATATCTCCATTTCGCTGCAGGCAAACCCTAAACCATCTGAAGAAATCTTGGTGCCGGGCGCTTGCCCTTGTGAGCTCGATGTGCGAAGAGGGGCTCCAACTCAATCACAAGGCGTCGGTTTCGTTTCAACTTAAACTTAAAACTGCCCTGAGAGTTGTCCATACTACAGATATGCACTGTGCATTCTAACAATACATGCTGCATGCTATCGAGCTATACTCTATATGCTGGATATGTAGTGTATTATTATGCACCTGACATCCCGAGAGCGCGACTCGGTCCACGCGCTCGAAGATGCGGGTCACAGCAGGAGGCATCACCATGGCCCTTTGGGCATTCCTGCAACGACTCAGAATGCCGAAGCCCTAAACTCCTAAACAAGCCTACAGCAAGCTCTGTTTTCACTGGAAGGCAGCAATCCTGAAAGATGCCCTATCGACCGACCGATGTCCGAGTATATACCTGAATAATTGATTGAATAATTACCATTCCTTAGGGCTCCTGATTAAAATGTTACCAGAAATCTTGCTCTCAAGCTAACATGCATGCTATGCTTGACGTTTTCCACAACTCCAAATTACGATGCAACTTGAAGCGTTGCCAGCTCCGCTCCGAACTGTGGGCTTCTGCTGTTGTGCCATCCTGTTGCTGCTTTGTTTTCGTGGAAGGCTCCAACGCCTCAATGGTATATCGTGGGACCATGTGAGGGTTGAGATTCGTTGTATGCTATTCAAGTTCAAAACATCCCTGCGCGATGTATCTTCGCTAGACTTCGGACGGCTTCACGTACATGCTTCGCTGCTTCCCGGTTGGGAGCACAGTGCTCGCCAGCATGACCGACATGCTTCCTCTCCTCCGCTGTTCGAAAGATGTGTTGGGCTTCGTTGCCCCGAACTGTTATGCCACTGAGGTAAGCTTTTGCTTGATGAGTATGTGCTGTCGATTTGAGTTTGCACTCGCATTTACAGGGTTGCTATGACTGCTATGCGCATCAACCCTGGCATTGAAAAATATACGTGATCGACTCGACTCCTAGCGGCTGGTCCTAGCATGCGGCTCTTCGTCCGACAGGCCGACTCATGATTTCAACAGTTCGCAAAGCTTCCCAGATTTCTTGCAGAAGCTGCTCGAAGTTCCTCGACATTCCTTCAAGGGTTCTCAACTACCCCTGCAGTTCTTCGTATCATTATCCCAACTTCTATATGCGTGGAGGTTCGGGTCAATTTCATACCTTCAGAAACCGCGGAACTGTTAAGTGTTCCCAATTTCACTTCACTCTGCAGGCTTCCACTGCAGCACCTACCGTCAGTTTGAGGCATCTGGGATCACCGCCCTTGGGCTTGCGAGTTGCCAAACCAGGAATGGCCACGTCGTGAACAAATGGAGTTTAGCATGCGCTTCTTGCTGCAACACTTTGCCCCTGCGGGTTGGAGTTTGGCTCCCGCATGGCGAGTCTCGCGACTGCATATATTTTGTCTTCTCGATTTGTGGGTGTCATCCTTGCGCAGGGGCCATGCTAATCTTCTCTGTATCGTTCCAATTTTATCGGATGATCCCCGAAGGGAATCCACACATCGACACATGCATGCATGGACGCATGCATGTATATACACACGCAGATGAAAGCATGCATATGCGCACATCAATCCACATGTACATCGCTACATGCGATTGCCATGAAGCTTGCACCGAAAGCCATCTGAGAATCAGGCATGGGCGACTCTTCCCTCCGCCCCCTGTCCATGCCACCCGTCTAAGTCAGGATGGATTCAGCGGCCATATTGAAGACTAGCTAAACACACTTGGGAACAGCAGCACCGGAAATCAGGCATCATGCAGGCAGATGCTGCAGATCCACGTTGCAGTAATGACGCATGCTCAAGCTAAGCTGACATAGGCAACTCACAAAAACCCGACAAAGCCCGTTCTGCGAAGGATCGCGAGTCGAGGTTGGACAAAGCCAGGTTGGACAAAGCCGTGTGTCGAACAGCATCTTTGATGCCGCCGTGGGCATGGCAGAGCTGTGCTGCCCCAGTCTGTTCTGTTCTTGCAAGAAAAACTTGCAGCTTTTTGCTACGTTGTAGAAGCTGCGGGATGCCTTGTTCGGTTCCGCTCGCTAATTAGTGGCCGCACGGCTCACTTTAAACATCCTGCGAAGGCTGGGCAGCCTTTTCCCCCTCGCGCTATGTTTGTAACAGTGAAGCGCCTTGGTTCTTGCTGACTTAGTGGCCGATTAGTGGCCCATAGCCCTAGCCTTGCCAGCCGTAGCCCGCCCAGCCTGCAAGGGCATCTCCTACAAAGAGACAAGACAAACGGCGTCCTGCTCTAAAAGTCGCGACATGCTCCACCTCTTTGCAATGGTCATTGACCATCAGCCTGATTCGCTGAGTTCGATTCTCAGCGCGGTGAAGTAATTGAAGTCGGCGTCCTCGCTCTGGCCATTCTGAAAAAGAAAATAGGCGCGTTCCAAAACACGCCGTTCCAAGCAACACCCCAGGCCGCGCTCGTAGGCCTCCCGGGCCATCTCCTCAGTAACCTGCAGGACTCCCCAATTTCAATCCGAAACATCTTCTGTAGCCACTCTAGCCCCTCACTACCCCGCCGAACTTAAGTAAAAGCAACTTGCCTGAAACGAAGAGGAATGATGGACCATCGTGCCGGAAACTTCGCCACGGGAAGCCAGGTTCGCTGGCTCGCCCGCGCTGGAGCTGGAGCTGGAAGTGGAGGTTGATGCTGTAGTGGAGGATGTTTCCTGAATACCCTTATCATGCTTGTCATCGTGCTTCCTCTTTCTGGCAGACCCCTTTCCATGCCCGTGATGGGCATCACTGCTGCGGTGGTGGGCATCACTGCTGCGGTGGTGGGTATCATTACTGCGGTGGGATTCACTGCCGCGATGGTGGGCCTCACTGCTGTGACGGTGGGCATCGCTGCGGTGGTGGTGGTCACCAGTGCTGCGATGGTGGGCATCGCTGCCGTGGTGGTGGGCACTGCTGGGATGGTGCTCCTCCCCGCTTCGGCGGCTGCTCTCCATCTCAACCGCAGGCACTGCGTGCTGAGCTGTACTGCCGTTTGGAGCAAACAAGAAGTTAGACAAAGACTGCGGAGGTGGCTCTGTCTTGTTTTCAGAGACCGGTGGGAGGAACAAGAACTCCGAAAAGCTAGAGCTCTGCACCGGCACGGGTTTGGAGGCAGTGGACGGCTTGGATGCTGATGACCGAGCCGTCCCTGCTTGAGCTGCCATAGTCTTTCCCCGAAGCTTGTCTGCCGTTCCGGAGTTTTCGGGAGCCGATGCGGACCGGGGTCTTGGGCTGATTGACCTGTGGTCGACATGCTCCGAGAACCGAAGGGTCTTCTTCGGCCTGGGCTTGGTGGCATCCCTAGTAAGAAGGGACGATGGCAGTGAGTGCCTCCTGCCGCTGGCATCGGTCTTCAAGCTTACCGGCACCTCTGTTGCTGCTTGAAAACGCAGCGGAGGACCATCCTCCAGCAAGGTCCGGCAGCTCCATGCCACTTCGCGCTTCATGACGGGTCCTGGAACGCTGTCGGCTATGCCACTTGTCTGAGTCCCACTCCCCATGGTGCTCGCGGTCTCCGTGAACTTGTTACCGGAATCCACCTCTTCAGTCTCACGGAACCAACCCCTAAAGCGCTGGCAAATCCTACAGATTATTGCAGATGTGTCTACCCTGTGTTGGATGCGATCGCGCCTGGGCATGGGGCAGGGTCTGGTAAGCCGCGTGGACGTCAACCTGCTGCTTGAGCGGATCCTGCACTGACTGTGTTTGACAACGTGTCGCGTGGCTCATCTTAGAGTCTTAGACTGCGGTGACTGCCGCAGTCCTGCAGCAAAGACATGGACCCACGCCGCTGTAGCGGGACATCACTCGAAGTGCTTCCTGTTCCCATCAGGGTTCGCGACCCGCCACTGGCATCGTGGCTGGTTTTGGCCAAGCCGGCAGACGGATTGACTGCTTTCTCGGCGGCTGCCAACTGTGAGTCCGTGCTGGCACGCTCGATTCTCACGCTCGTCTTCTTGTCGCTGGAAATCACCTTAGTCTCACAGAACTGGCCCCACACTGGAAGGATGGGTGACAAAAGACAATGGGCGACGAGCTCAAGTGTCCATCCCGCCTGGGGATCGGTCTGGGACGCCACGCGGACGTCCTGGTTCTGCTTGGGCGAATCCTGCTCTGACTTTTTTCAGGGTCGGGGCTTTACGGAGGGTTCGTGGCATGGTTATTCTGTCAGTCCTGAAGCGCAGCCTCTCGCCCCTGCCGTGAGAGGTCACGCGACACGTTTTCTGTTGCCAGCATGGTTCGCGCCGTGTTGCTGCTGCTGGCACCCTGGATACTTTTGACCACACCGGCGTACGGGTTGACCGCTGATCCTGCTGTGCTTTCCGAGGCCATCTTCGGGTTGACCACTGATCCTGCCGTGCTTTGCGAGGCCATCTTTGCGGCATTCATAGTGGTGCGCGCCGTGGCTGCTGCGGTTGAGGAGGCTGGAGAGATCTTTGCATTCACAAAGCTTGCCGGCGGTACAGACTCCTTGCCCGTGCAGCCTAGCTTCTCCTTCCAGCCCGGGTATATCTCGTCTGCATCCTTCGGGAAAGTGAGGAAGGCACCCTTGATCTCCTTGTGGGTCTTGGCGAACTCAACCACACCATCGCTCAAGCTGACGTTGCCATACTGTCCAGACCTCCAGGCCTTCCATGCTTCCTCAACTTGGCGGCAGGCGATTGCACCAGACGCAGGGCCGTCCTTGTGGCCGAAAGAGCCGCTGTCGGCAGTCAGGATCACGTTGGAATGGCCCAGGGTTTCAAAGAAAGCCGGCAGGCGGAGAGCGTTCATGATACCAGGAGCACTCTGTGTCATGCCCTCCCGCCTTTGATCGCAGAGCCGGGCATCGGCCGCGTCGTCCTGCAGCATGACAGCCATACTCTTGCCGTGGGAATCACCATGTGTCTTGCCGAAGCTCATGGTGTCGGCGTGGATGCTGGTGGTGCTGATGACTTGGGAGATCTTGGTGTGCACGAACGCAGAGTAGCCGCGTTGGGTCTGGGGGCTGCTTGTGGATGCTTGTCCCGCACGATGGTAATGAACGAACTGCCTGGGGAAAGTGTGCCGGGCACTGCCTCCCGCTGCATATCCTGCCACCAAGGAAACGCAATTTCCGGAGAAAGGTCCAAACTGCGATAGGACGTACTTTCCACGAGCATCCATCTCCTTCGATTCATCAGTGTAGTTGCCACCCGAATGCCGCTTAGCAACATCAGTCCCTTGGACGCACGACCTCATGGCCTTCACGACCTCCGGAATGCCCTCACTTGCTTGGGTGGGCGCCTGGTTTGCCTGCACGTCGGCTGCGGTGTAGGCTCCACCTTGCCAAAGCGCATAGGAGGCCGCACGGAAAGGTTTTGGCGTCATGCCAAGCTTGGGCTTCATGGCAGCTGCCGCAAGGCCTCCATTGCTGGCGCCCTTGTCAAGGATGCGCCACATCGTGTTCACGGATGGGCTCTCCTGTAGTCGCAAGAACGACGGGGGCAAGTAGAAGTCGTAGATCTTGCCGAACTCGACATCTTCCATACCTCAGTCAGTCGGCCATGGAGCAGAGCTACTCCAACCGTTTCAGGCTCAGATATCTGAGGACACCAAGCCCGGGACCCTGAGTGTTGCCAATGGCGAGGGTCAGGAAGGACCTCACCATCTCGCGGCCATCGGTGAGGTTGCTGTCGAAGAGCACGGTCGGGTAGGCAATTCTCATCTCCTGACTGTCCGCGTCGATGTAGTACACGACTGCGTTTGCTGACTCCTTGGCGTCGTCTGTGCTTCTGGCGCCAGTACAAGACTCAGCAGCGAAATGGGCGGCTGTGGCCAGGTAATCGTAGCCCATCTTCGGCTTCATGGTATATGCGACCAGCACATGCTCCCCATTCCTCGCACTGTGTGGGTTTGACCGCAAGCTACTCATGATATGCGCGCTAAAGGCTGAACGCTGCCGTCGATGCGATGTGCCACGCACTCGGTTAATTCCCGAACGCAGCTTGGTGTCTTCATCAGGGTCGCCTCGTTCAATGACAGTTCCACATGGCGCTCCAGGGCCTTACACCAGAGTCCGGCGCTTCACTGAAGCTGGAATGCAGCGAATGCTAGAACAAGATACGCTTGCAGATGTGTCTACCCTGTGTTGGATGCGATCGCGCCTGGGCATGGGGCAGGGTCTGGTAAGCCGCGTGGACGTCAACCTGCTGCTTGAGCGGATCCTGCACTGACTGCGTTTGACAACGTGTCGTGTGGCTCATCTTAGAGTCTTAGACTGCGGTGGCTGCCGCAGTCCTGCAGCAAAGACATGGACCCACGCCGCTGTAGCGGGACATCACTCGAAGTGCTTCCTGTTCCCATCAGGGTTCGCGACCCGCCACTGGCATCGTGGCTGGTTTTGGCCAAGCCGGCAGACGGATTGACTGCTTTCTCGGCGGCTGCCAGCTGTGAGTCCGTGCTGGCACGCTCGATTCTCACGCTCGTCTTCTTGTCGCTGGAAATCACCTTAGTCTCACAGAACTGGCCCCACACTGGAAGGATGGGTGACAAAAGACAATGGGCGACGAGCTCAAGTGTCCATCCCGCCTGGGGATCGGTCTGGGACGCCACGCGGACGTCCTGCTTCTGCTTGGGCGAATCCTGCTCTGACTTTTTTCAGGGTCGGGGCTTTACGGAGGGTTCCTGGCATGGCTATTCTGTCAGTCCTGAAGCGCAGCCTCACGCCCCTGCCGCGAGAGGAGCACGGATCGCGCCGTGTTGCTGCTGCTAGCACCCTGGATACTCTTGACTCCGCCGGTGTACGGGTTGACCGCTGATCCTGCTGTGCTTTCCGAGGCCATCTTCGGGTTGACCACTGATCCTGCCGTGCTTTGCGAGGCCATCTTTGCGGCATTCATAGTGGTGCGCGCCGTGGCTGCTGCGGTTGAGGAGGCTGGAGAGATCTTTGCATTCACAAAGCTTGCCGGTGGTACAGACGCCTCGCCCGTGCAGCCTAGCTTCTCCTTCCAGCCCGGGTATATCTCGTCTGCATCCTTCGGGAAAGTGAGGAAGGCACCCTTGATCTCCTCGTGGGTCTTGGCGAACTCAACCACACCATCGCTCAAGCTGACGTTGCCATACTGTCCAGACCTCCAGGCCTTCCATGCTTCCTCAACTTGGCGGCAGGCGATTGCACCAGACGCAGGGCCGTCCTTGTGGCCGAAAGAGCCGCTGTCGGCAGTCAGGATCACGTTGGAGTTGCCCAGGGTTTCAAAGAAAGCCGGCAGGCGGAGAGCGTTCATGCTACCCGAAATAATGGGAGCATTTTGCCTCATGCCTTCCCACTCCTGATTGCAGAGACGGGCATCGGCTGCGTCGTCCTGCAGCATGACAGCGATACTCTTGTCGGGGGAATCACCATGCGTCTTGCCGAAGCTCATGGTGTCGACGTGGATGCTGGTGGTGGTGATGACTTGGGAGATCTTGGTGTGCACGAAAGCAGAGTAGCCGCGTTGGGTCTGGGGGCTGCTTGTGGATGCTTGTCCCGCACGATGGTAATGAACGAACTGCCTGGGGAAAGTGTGCCGGGCACTGCCTCCCGCTGCATATCCTGCCACCAAGGAAACGCAATTTCCGGAGAAAGGTCCAAACTGCGATAGGACGTACTTTCCACGAGCATCCATCTCCTTCGATTCATCAGTGTAGTTGCCACCCGAATGCCGCTTAGCAACATCAGTCCCTTGGACGCACGACCTCATGGCCTTCACGACCTCCGGAATGCCCTCACTTGCTTGGGTGGGCGCCTGGTTTGCCTGCACGTCGGCTGCGGTGTAGGCTCCACCTTGCCAAAGCACATAGGAGGCCGCACGGAAAGGTTTTGGCGTCATGCCAAGCTTGGGCTTCATGGCAGCTGCCGCAAGGCCTCCATTGCTGGCGCCCTTGTCAAGGATGCGCCACATCGTGTTCACGGATGGGCTCTCCTGTAGTCGCAAGAACGACGGGGGCAAGTAGAAGTCGTAGATCTTGCCGAACTCGACATCTTCCATACCTCAGTCAGTCGGCCATGGAGCAGAGCTACTCCAACCGTTTCAGGCTCAGATATCTGAGGACACCAAGCCCGGGACCCTGAGTGTTGCCAATGGCGAGGGTCAGGAAGGACCTCACCATCTCGCGGCCATCGGTGAGGTTGCTGTCGAAGAGCACGGTCGGGTAGGCAATTCTCATCTCCTGACTGTCCGCGTCGATGTAGTACACGACTGCATTTGCTGACTCCTTGGCGTCGTCTGTGCTTCTGGCGCCAGTACAAGATTCAGCAGCGAAATGGGCGGCTGTGGCCAGGTAATCGTAGCCCATCTTCGGCTTCATGATATATGCGACCAGCACATGCTCCCCGTTCCTTAAGGCCACCATGAGTGGAACTGGCAGACTCAGCCCCCACGGTAAAGTCACACAAGTTGCGGAACTAAAGCTGTACTGCCTTGCAGCGAGTTGCTTTACCAAGGTCGCCTGCACAAGGTTCCGAGCTTTGGGTTCATCGTAGCATGACGGAATTCAACTGCGAGTCAAATCGGTAAACCCCAGTTAGCTGGCCGCAGCCTAGCCCAACAAGACAAGACCCAATGCACGACGACACGAGATGCACATCTGCGGCACAACTTCACGAGAAGACTGAGGATGACTGCAGGCACAGCAATCAACAAGGACACACATTATTAGAGATCAGGGAAGCAGAGAGAAAAGCGGGAGAGAGAGAGAGAGAGAGAGACAGAGAGAAGACCCCGTCTGAACGAACGAACAGCCCAAACATACGAATGTGACTGAATGGAGTCCTGGAGGATGCTGGGCAACCCGTGCAGCCCTCACCCAGCCTCATCCAGAGTGAGGTCGGCATAGCGGCTGGACTGTTCCAAGGTACGACAGGCAGTGGCATCTTCCTGCAAGGGCTTAGATGCATTGAAAGGGCCGGAGTTCAGCCCAAAGTTTTTCCTGCAGAACCTTACCAGCAGGACTTCGCATCACCCGAAACCTGCTGTCCCGGCAAGAAAGGGTCCTGTGCCACTGCGGCCTCTGCAGGCTCCTCTTCCGGCTCTGGCATCTTTTCGTGCGCAAGGCGCGTGCCACGGGTGTCAGCGCCAGAAGTGAAATGTGGCTCCTGCGGTTTGACTTGTGACATCTCTCGGCTCACTCAGGACTCAAAGCTGGACACCTCGGTTTAACTGGAGGCTAGCAACCTGTAGCAAAAGCAATCTTCCCTGGCATGTTGTGAGGGAACTTGAAGGACAGGAATTCATGCCTTGACCTTTTCAACGTGACGCTCTTGCCCCTTTCGCACGAAGATCAAACAAGGCAGCCCCTAATCCTGCTGCGCCGCTTCGGCAGCACCAGCGAACTCCTCCTGCTTGTTGGCCGAGCCATCAGTCTTGTCATCAGGCTGCATGCCAACATCCTGAAAATCAGCAAGACCGGTCCCGTAAGCGAAGAGATCGGGTAAGCTGGAGCTCTGCATTGGTGCCGATTTGCCGGATGATCGAGCCGTCGAGTGCCTGTCGTCCCCTGGTCGTGGGTTCGGACTGATTGACCGGTGTTCAACCTGCTCTGAGAAGCTGAGGGTCTTCCTCGGTTTGGGCCTGGTGACATCCCGGAGAGCCGGGGCCAAGGGACTTCCAGACTTCAAACTTCGAGACCTAGAGGCCGAACTGCTGGGCGAACTCTCCGGTGACGGCCCGCAGTTCTGCTCACGCATCGCTTCAGCAGGAATTCTTGCCGTGCTCGTTGCAGCTGTGTTAGGGACGCTCTCCGTCTCTGTTGCATGCTGCACGAAGTTCTTGTCGGAATTCGCCCTTTCAGACTCCTCACGCAACATGGAACCTAAAGACACTGAATGCTCAGCAGATGATAGCAGATGCACCCGGGTTTGGACTTGCTCGCACCTGGGGCATATTCTGGAACACCGTGCGGGCGTCAAGGTCCTTCTTCGGCGAATCCTGCTCTGGCTGCATGCTCAAGGTCGGGGGTTTCAGGGCCACACCTACCAGGCGGGCGATTTCAGATTGGCAGTCCTGAAGCACAGCATCCGGCAGCGTGCTTCCTGCTCCCAGCAAGGTTCGCGCCGTGTTGCTGCTGGTAGCCTGGATACTTTTGACTCCGCCGGTGTATGGGCTGACCATTGATGCACCCGCTGCACTTTGCGAGGCCATCTTCGCGGCAGTCATAGTGGTGCGCGCCGTGGCTGCTGCGGCGGAGGAGGCAGTAGAGATCTTTGCATTCACAAAGCTTGCCGACGGTGCAGACGCCTCAGCCGTGCAGCCTAGCTTCTCCTTCCAGCCCGGGTATATCTCGTCTGCATCCTTCGGGAAAGTGAGGAAAGCACCCTTGATCTCCTCGTGGGTCTTGGCGAACTCAACCACACCATCACTCAAGCTGACGTTGCCATACTGTCCAGACCTCCAGGCCTTCCAAGCTTCCTCAACTTGGCGGCAAGCCATTGCACCAGACGCAGGGCCGTCCTTGTGGCGGAAGAAACCGCCGACGACAGTTAGGATCACATTGGAGTGGCCCAAGTTCTGGAACACAGCCGGTAGATGGAGAATGTTCATGCTCCCCGAAATGATGGGAACTCTCTGCTTCATAGCCTCCCACTCCCGATAATACAAGTCAGTATGTTCACCAGCATCGTCCTGCAGCATGAGGGCGATAATGTCGTCGGGGGAATCACCCTGCGACTTGCCGAAGCCACTGGTGTCGGCGTGGATGCTCGTCGTGCTGCTGACGAGGGAGATCTTTGTGTGCACGAAGGCAGAGTAGCCGCGTTGGGTCTGGGGGCTGCCTGTGGCTGCTTGCCCCGCGCGATGGTAATGCGTGAACTGCTTGGGGAACGTTTGCCGGGCACTGCCTCCAGCTGCATATCCTGCCACCAAGGAAACACATGTTTTGGAGAAAGGCCCAAACTGTGACAGGATGTACTTGCCACGCGCGATCATTTCGTTCGGATCATCAGCGTAGTTGTTGCCAGAGAACATCTTGCCCACACCAGTCGCTTGGACACAAGACCTCATGGCAATTACCACTTCTGGGATGCCCTCGTTCATCTGGCTGAAAGCCTGGTTGCCCTGCGACTTCTCTGTCTTGGTGTAAATGCCTCCTTGCCACAATGCATAGGAAGCCCCACGGAAAGGTTTTGGCTGCATGCCAAGCTTGGGCTTCATGTCACCTGCCGCAAGGCCTCCATTGCTGGCCTTGTCAAGGATGCGCCACATCGTGTTCACGGATGGGCTCTCCTGTAGTCGCAAGAACGACGGGGGCAAGTAGAAGTCGTAGATCTTGCCGAACTCGACATCTTCCATACCTCCGCGTGTTCTAGACTTTGCATAGCAAAGAGCGTACCAAGACTTCGACGCCGAGGACTGAGGCCCTGACCCTGAGTGTTGCCGATCGCCAAGTTCAGGAAGGATCGCAATGTGTCGCGACCATCGACCAGGCTGCAGTCGAAGAGAGTGGTCGGGTAGGCAATCTTCACCTCCTCGCTTCCTGGGTCGATGTCATACACCAGGACATCATTGGACCCAGCGCAATGTTTGGTCGACTCAGCAGCGAAGTGCATGGCAGTGGCCAGATAGTCACACCCCGTGTTGGCCTTCATCCTGAATTTGACCAGCACGTGCTGGCCTTTCCTCACAACTAACGATCTACATGCTCTTTGTTCGACTAGATGCACCCTCAAGACCCTGACATGGCGTGAGCTACATTCAGTCTACGGTCCCTTGCAGCCGAGTCACTTGATCAAGCTCGCCTATGCAAACAGGAAGAGCTATCTTAGCAGCTATCAGAAGCTAACGGTGCTTTGTCCTTTGTGTCAAGCGCAAACTGTCGTTGAAAGAGAGAGCTGGAACAAGTCCACATCAATGTCACTCTCATGCAAAGCTCGAAGTTGCAGCTTTCAATGCTCTGGCTTTCCGTTTCGTGCTTGATCCGTGTAGCTGGCCTCGATGCTTGAAACCGAGACAGACCTCAACCCATTCCGTGACCGTAGAAAGCCCACTGGTGTAGTTAAGCTGTTGGCTGTAAACTTTCGACAACCCTCACTGCATCTGCCAAACCATCCAAACTCCTTCCAGCCTCGTCCCGGCAGACCTGCGACTCGTCCAAAGAGTCCTCGGCGTCGGCCGTGTCCTGCAACCCGCTGGGCATGCGCGAACCAAGACTCGGGCTTCGATGGCTTCGAACTTCGGACACGTGGGCACCCGGCGTCCTTGCTTGGAAGGCCCAGCTGCTCGCTCGTGCCAAGGAGGTCATCCAAGTCAGCCGTGTCGTCTGCTTCGTCTACCTTGCTCTCGGTGATGTTGGAATCTGTCATGCTGCGCATGGTGGCTATGACTTGCGAGATCGTGGCGTGAACGAAAGCGGTGTAGCCACACTGGGATTGGTCACTATCTGTCGTGGCAGCCTTTTCTGCAACATAACTTTCGGCAAGAACTGCGAAGCTCCTGCACAAAGCTTTGAACTGCGATACCAGGTATTTGCCACGGTCGAGCATCAGGGAATCGTCGTCTTCCACAGGGCTGCCCTTGCCAGGGCCGGGCTTCTTCATGCATCTCTCCATGGACTCGAGAACCTCAGGGATGCACTCGAACTGGCTCTCCGGGCCCGACTCCGAGTCCGCGGGGCCCAGTAGGGACTTCTGCATGTCGCCCTGCCAATACTCGGAGCAAGGGTGGCTCCGAGGCTTCAAGCCAAGCTGTGACTTCATGCCGCTGTCTGCCACTGCGCCTGACTGGTATGCGACTTTGATGCGTCGCTGACCCAAGACACGCCAGGCACCCTCTATGTTCAAGGCAGGCCCGTCATACAACCGCAGGAAGCGAGGAGGCAAGTAGAAATCGTTGATCCGAATGTATTCCGCAGCCTCCGTGCCTGCAACAAAAACAGCGTGTGCCGAACGAGAGCATGTGCCCAGGAGAGGGGATCAACGACGACTCAACACAAATCATTGCTGCAAGAACCAGAAAAGCCTTCCACCCAGTTTCAGCTCTCTGAGAGGTTGATCAGCCATGTACTTCGCGTCAGTTAATTCTTGAACGTTAGTTGCGCCAGCCAGCATCTGCAGCCAGCATGTACCAATTTCATTTGTTGATGTGGCAAGTACATGCATACATGCGTACTCGCGTTATATGTATGTCAGGCATCGCAAGCCATGCCGGAGTTGTGCGATGCTCTGTAGATTCGTCCTCACACCCACGTCCGACAGGCTCAAATCATGCCAAACCCCCACACTTGCATCTTCATGTCAAGAGCCGTAGGGGCCATTGGCTTCACGTTTTTGATTTACACGGTATCCGCAACTGTTGCTCGTGAGATGTCGTTTGGTCCGTTGGTCTGCTTCAAATGGCATGACGGATTGCCAGCAATGCATCCTGAAACGCTCGGATTTTGAAGGAGCTCTTTAGGAATTAGTGGAGGAAAGCGCAATCATAACCCGGCCTTTCATAAGTCTACTTGGGCATGCAGTGAAGAAGTCGCAGCAACAAGCAATCTGAGAGCACTCAAAGCCATATCAGGCCAAGAGAGCACAAGGGCCAAAGCAGCAGAAGCTCGGGCAGAAAAACAAGAGCAAAGTGTACAGGTGGAGAATGTGATCACCAAGACTAGAGAACTGCGTCGGGATATAAGTAAGGCAGATATATCAACCCACTCCATGACACTGAAATGCGAACTCGCCAATAACAAGTAACAGAAGTGCTGCCGAAGAAATATCACGTGAAATTGCTTGGTTCGTCTCCATAGTCTGCACACGTCCTGATTGGTCGAGGCACATTGATTGCGGCGGATGTCCAAGTTGAGAAACGAGCAAGTGATGCTGGTGTCACGCCCGAAAAGCGGCAAAGGATACGCAAGCTTCATCTTGAAACTGTCAGGGTCGATGTAGTACACATGCACATCCAAAGAATCGAAATCATCCGGCGTGCTTGCACACGATTCGGAGGCGAATCGCGTGGCTGTGTCCAAATAGCCATAACCCTCCTTTGGCTTCATGATGTATCCAACCAACACGTGGTTGCCATTCCTCGGGCAAGCCAGTCTACAAAACAAAAGAGATTGACAAGGGGGATCAGGACTCTTACCTGCCGTGCCCTCAAGTCTACAGAAGCCAGGGCTCCGGATCAGATTGTCTTCATCAAAGTACAGGTCCCCATATACACTGTAGTGGTCACTCGCCTGGCATTCAAGAGCCAGGGCTGCAACTCCTGCCCAAGCTGACTCGTCCACTGCTGCTAGGATGCCTTGCGTTCCATGGTCGAGGAATCCTCCTGAGGGAAACAGCCCCCGTCTTCATGTGTGTCAGGGGGCTGCATTCTATGCCAAAGATGCTGCTTTCTTCACGACCTAAACTCTGTAGAGCCGTTCTGGGTCCCGATCCAGATTTGGCTATGATTTGAATGCGATGTGGCAAGGTTCTTTGTGATTCCTATTCATGTCTCCATTGCTGAAACTCCTCCGAGCTAAACCCAATCATGACCCCACAAGCCAGGTAGGGTGCTTGGCGGACCAAGGAGATTTGGGTTCTCCCGATGTTGAGTTGGACATTCGGGTGCTTTCCCCCCCCTCGCTTCTTTCCGAGAGCAAAGGAAAGATTGAAACAAGCTGGCACCGGTCAGAAGTGGCTCCGACTGGAATTGGCAGGGCAGGATAGGGTACTTCTATTCATGGAGTGGAAAGGCTCATGCCTGCAGCCATGTGGTGGTTCCCTCCACTGCCAGAAATCTCCCATGTCCAAGGACCCACCCGCCTGCCACCAACAAGCTTTGACCGACCACACTAGCACCAGCAGCAGCACCACCACCAGCATCAGCAACAGCAGCAACAGCAGCAGCAGCATGCAGCATGCAGCAGCAACAGCGGCAGCGGCAGCTGCAGAAGCAGAAGCAGCAACAGCAACAACAGTTCATTCGCACACAGCGGGAGGACACTCGACTTGGTGTGAAACTTTATACTCGCTCTGCGAGTGGTCGACCTATTGGCGGGACGGCTTAAGCAGTTTCAGATGTGATCAGAATCGTATCCGAATCGGGCAATCAGATCTCCCAATCCGGAGAGAACTTGCGAAGTGGAAGGAGGTTCCTCTAAGGCCTCAACCCCCTGGCGAGTAGTCTAGGTAGGGCCACCCGCCATCAGGCGTCATGTGGCCAACTGTCTTCAGGTGATCCTGTGCATGTTGATCCTTAGAGAAAGTCAGCAGCCGTTCCGGAAGCTAATTGAAAGTGAGTGCCAGGATCATCCTGGGCGTTGTTGTAAGCGCAAACTGGGAGTTCAATCTTTGCAGTTTTTACCTTCGGAGGTTAAATTTGTGCAGCTGGCTGCGCCGGAGTACGCCCTAGCTGATTCAGAGTCAAGATTCTGCTTCGATATGAGCTACCATCTTTTTTCTGAGCCCTGTGCAAAAGCCTTTTTGTGCTTTTCCGTTAGGAGTCGGCTGATGTTTGCGGGTCGCATCACTTTTCTGTTTCGCGAAGCTCATGTTGAACTCCACAGCTGTGTGCGTGTACCGACAACCCTTACCTCTGGGAGCTATCAACAATCTGTGCTTCTCCAGGCTCCACCCGTACTACGCGTGACCTCACCTGAGCCGAGAGGCCAACAACCACCACAACAGCAGGAGCAGGAGCACGAGCAGGAGAGGAGCAGGAGCACGAGCGGGAATAACAACATAGATAAGCAGAAGCAGACACGGAAAGCCAACAATGTCCTGCTGAGCGCTCTCACCCGTCGGTACTTCATCATCAGGACGAATGACTTCCTGCGCAGAGTTATCAGAAATCACCGGCGATATTGGAGAGCTCTCTGGAGAACCCATCTGAATCGGGTGGGCCTGCGGGGTGTCCGAGCTGGAAACCTCGGCCTCACGGTCATCTTCCTCAACCACCCTCCATCCAATTTCCTGCACAGACTGAACAAAAGCATGCCGCTGGAAGCTGTTTCTGTGAGAAAATCTGCGAGAAAAGAATCCAAGAACCACCACGGTTGAAAGATTGCACATAAAAGTTATAGAAGGTCCTTTGCTGATCTCACTGGACTCGTAATCTCGGTCTCGCGAGCATCTTCCTCTGATTCGCCAGCTGCTGAGCCGATTTCGAAGAACTCGGCAATGCCAGAACTCGGCGCTGCAGATGCTTTGGGAGCTGCCCCTGAGAGCGCGGTAGGAAGTGTAGGACTTGTTGGATTGGAAGGTTCTTGGCCCTCCACTGAACCAGCGTCCTGTCAGACAGGAAAGGGCTAGGAAAGGACATGCAAAGAAGCCACACCTACCGAGGTAGAACCACAGACGGAACAACTACGGGGTAAGCACTTGTGCTCTGGCTTTTTGCCGTGCCTCCGCAGCCGCTGCCTCCAACTCAGCAGCTGCCTCTGCAGCTGCTGCCTCCGCAGCTTTTGCTTCCGCGGCTGCGGCCTCCGCAGCTGCGGCCTCCGCACTCCGTGTGGCCTCGGCCTTTCGCTCAGCAGCTTCATCAGCCTCTGGTGCTGAATCATCCATAGAGCCGATGTCAAAAAACTCGGGCAAACTCGCGCTTTGCGACAGCGTCGGAGGCTCAAGGTTCGCGGGGTCTGCACCTTCGTCGTCGCCGTCCGCCACGTCAACTTTTGACAGGATCTCCGCGGATTCCGCCTTCTGAGTCTCTTCATGCGGACCGCTGACCTCATCTGCACAGATTTCCGAGTCCTCTGAACACTCGTCGGAGTAGTCGTCCCCCTCGCTTTCCTCGGCTTGAGATCCGGATTCATCCGAATCCTCACCCTCTTCGCGGAGCTTTTTGGCCCCGGTGCTCTGCATATCGAGATGCTCCTCGCCAGGGCTTTGCTGGGGAGCCACAAAGGCATCGTCCTGTCCGACAGGAAAGTGCACGCGCAGAGCTTATACTTACCGCAAACATACACGATAAACAATCAAGCCAACAGTGGACAGCAGGCTCCTCTCCGGCTGCAGCTGCCACCTCATCGTTTGCTTCCCCGGCGCCCGGCTCGTCAGCTTTCGGGGAGCTAATGTCAAACACCTGTGGTAGGCGTGACTGGACCGAGTGGGAAGTTTCTGATGTTGCTTCAGCGGCATCACCTTCTACAATTGAAGGGACGTCCACGGGCGCCTCCTTTGGGTCACTGGCCTCGTCTGCCACTGCCTCGCTGCCCATCACATCGTGATACTCAGCCGTGGAATGATGCGACGAATGCTCGTCAATCTCGGCATCACGAACCTCCTCCTGCGAATCACACACAGGATCCGGGTTCGCAGTATGGTCTTGCAGCTTCTTCTTCTTCTCGGCCTCCTCATCTGCCTCTGCCTCGCTTCCCATCACCTCATGGTACTCAGCCATGGAATGATGCGACGAATGCTCGTCAATCTCGGCATCACGTACCTCCTCCTGCGCATCACACACAGGATCCGGGTTCGCGGTATGGTCTTGCAGCTTCTTCTTCTCGGCCTCCTCATCTGCCTCTGCCTCGCTTCCCATCACCTCATGGTACTCAGCCGTGGAATGATGCGACGAATGCTCGTCAATCTCGGCATCACGTACCTCCTCCTGCGCATCACACACAGGAACCGGGTTCGCGGTATGGTCTTGCAGCTTCTTCTTCTCGGCCTCCTCATCTGCCTCTGCCTCGCTTCCCATCACCTCATGGTACTCAGCCGTGGAATGATGCGACGAATGCTCGTCAATCTCGGCATCACGTACCTCCTCCTGCGCATCACACACAGGATCCGGGTTCGCGGTATGGTCTTGCAGCTTCTTCTTCTCGGCCTCCTCATCTGCCTCTGCCTCGCTTCCCATCACCTCATGGTACTCAGCCGTGGAGTGGTGTGACGAATGCTCGTCAACCTCGGCATCACGTACCTCCTCCTGCGAATCACACACAGGGTTCGTGGGGTCTGCCTCACTGGTAATCACGTCATTGTGCTCAGCCACGGAGTGTTGTGACGATTGCTCATCAATCTCGGCATCACAAACATCGTCTTGCGAACGATACACAGGATCGGGGTTCGTGGGGTCTGGATGCTCCTGGTCTTGACCGTCTGTTTTCGAACCGATCTCTGGCGTCTCCTTCTTCTCAGCCTCCTCGTTTGCATCTGAATCTGCCTCTGCCTCACTGGCAACCATATCATTGTACTCAGCCACGGAGTGTTGTGACTCGGATCCAGACCCATCCGAGTACTCATCCTCTTCGTTGGGGGCCCCGTTGTTGGCGTCAATGCTCGACACATGCTCCTCACCCATGGCTTGGAGGGGATGTTCGTCTTTCTGCGCCGAGCCCAAGTCCTGCACGAAAGCCAGGTACACGCACAGCACAAAAAATACTGGAACAAAACAAGCCCCGAGTCCTGGTCGACTTGTGTTTGTGATTCTTGTGAATCACACGGAGGGGCTGGACACATGAAGTCTCCACCATCCGGCGTAGATACTGGTACCTTTGACATGTCCAACAACTCCTCCTTCTCGGCCTCTTCATTCGCGCCGCTGGCCTCATCTGCCTCTGCCCCACTCGCAATCACGTCATTGTGCTCAGCCACGGAATGTTGCGAGGAACACTCGTCCTCGTCCGAGTACTCGTCTTCTTCACCTCCTTCGCCCTCCAAACCCTCGGATGCAGACTCATCCGAGTACTCATCCTCTTCGTTGGGGGCCGCGTTGTTGGCGTCAATGCTCGACACATGCTCCTCACCCGAGGCTTGGAGGGGATGTTCGTCTTTCTGCGCCGAGCCCAAGTCCTGCACGAAAGCCAGGTACGCGCACAGCACAAAAATACTGGAACAAAACAAGCCCCGAGTCCTGGTCGACTTGTGTTTGTGATTCTTGTGAATCACACGGAGGGGCTGGACACATGAAGTCTCCACCATCCGGCGTAGATACTGGTACCTTTGACATGTCCAACAACTCCTCCTTCTCGGCCTCTTCATTCGCGCCGCTGGCCTCATCTGCCTCTGCCCCACTGGCAATCACGTCATTGTGCTCAGCCACGGAATGTTGCGAGGAACACTCGTCCTCGTCCGAGTACTCGTCTTCTTCACCTCCTTCGCCCTCCAAACCCTCGGATGCAGACTCATCCGAGTACTCATCCTCTTCGTTGGGGGCCGCGTTGTTGGCGTCAATGCTCGACACATGCTCCTCACCCGAGGCTTGGAGGGGATGTTCGTCTTTCTGCGCCGAGCCCAAGTCCTGCACGAAAGCCAGGTACGCGCACAGCACAAAAATACTGGAACAAAACAAGCCCCGAGTCCTGGTCGACTTGTGTTTGTGATTCTTGTGAATCACACGGAGGGGCTGGACACATGAAGTCTCCACCATCCGGCGTAGATACTGGTACCTTTGACATGTCCAACAACTCCTCCTTCTCGGCCTCTTCATTCGCGCCGCTGGCCTCGTCTGCCTCTGCCCCACTGGCAATCACGTCATTGTGCTCAGCCACGGAGTGTTGTGAGGAACACTCGTCCTCGTCCGAGTACTCGTCGTCTTCACTTTCCTCGCCCTCCAAACCCTCGGATCCGGACACATACGAGTACTCATCATCTTCTTTTAGGACCTCCTTGTTGGCGCCGGTGCTCGCCGCGTCGACACACTCCTCACCGGAGCCTTGGGGGGAACGTTCGTCTTTCTCCACCGAGCCAGTGTCCTACAAGAAGGCAAGGCAAAGGTACGGCATGGTACGGCACTCCCCCACATTTGTCTGTTGCCCTTGCTTCGACTGGAAACGCAGGCTTTACATGGTTGATGTTGTTGGCCTGCTCTGTTTAGACAAGCTGATGATTTACTATGGCTTATGGCCTTTGTAGGCGACGTGCCACAACCCGTGTTTTGTTGACATGAGCCGCCTACCGACGTCGTCCTCACAGGACTGCCAGCTTTCTGCGAACACTATGGTGTTAGTCGGCAAATACAGTACTGGCAACCAGCACAGCAAGTGCACAGTCCTTGGCAGTGTTTTGGACCTCTTCGTTCGTGTCACACGGAGGGGCGGAGTTTCCCTCTCGCGACTCTTCCTTCTCAGCCTCTTTTTTGGCGGCGCTGGCCTCATCGGCAGAGATTTCGGAGTACTCCCCCTCTGAATACTCGTCAGAATACTCTTCTTCACTTTCCTCGCCCTCCATGCCCTCAGATCCAGATTCATCTGAATACTCATCCTCGTCGTTGAGGACACCCTTGTTTGCCCCGGTGCTCGGCATATCGACATGCTCCTCATCGGAGCCTTCCGAGGAGTATTCATCCGAGTACTCGGAGTACTCGTCCTCCTCCTCGTTGTTCATCTTGGAAACCTCCGCATCCGTCCTGGACTCCTCCACCAGTCCAGTGGGACTAGATTCCGGAGCGGATCCTTTTGAGCCCACTTGTTCCAGGCCGTAGCCGTCGAAGCAGCATTGCGGCACCTCCACTTTGGATCTGCGCCTTGCGAGCGCGTCTCCCAATGTCTCCATGATGGAGCAGCAGCCCTACACTCTCTGGCCTATAGACAATCCTGACAGACTCGCTATGACATCACTACATTACTGCGGATGTTCCAACTTCGGATACCTCTTCAAAGCACGGCATGTCTCGAGAGAGAGGCTCTTTGAGCAGAAGTGATCCCACGCGAGAAGCAGGAGGTGCATGCCAAAAGTCGAAATTGCAATGTGCAAGCAGCCAAAGAACTCTCGGACTCAGTGAAAAAGCACTTTCCATGCCGCGCGGTCGTAGTCGTAGGAGCCCACCTCCCAAACAGATTCGTCGGGCCATTGATTGCCTTTTCCGCTCAGCCGGCGAGTCGTCAATCCTCGCAGTGCAGGCTCAAGAGTTGGAGAGCTTTGCGCGACCTCAAACAGCTGACTGAACCGCCACGAGAAGCATGCCCTGTGCCGCCGGCCCGGATGCACGTCGAAGGATAGAGAGGCCGGCCCACAGCCTGGCGACTGCACAGGTAGCTGACAACAGGCGAGTAAGAACTGATTCTATCCACGTTGGTATCCTCAAATCCCTTGCTGGGGTTGCATGCTCAGGGTCGAAGGTTTTCATGTGGAACGACTCATGTAAGATACGAGCAGTGACAATACTTGAGGTCCTCCTTGTTCCCAGTTTCGACTCTCACTCTCGCACCAGGCAGGCAAAGCTCCGCATGTGTCCGTCACGCTAGCTGAACCCCAGATCAGAGCGGAACGACACTAGACATCCCACAACGACAAACACTACACCTCCATCTGGGGCCACTCATTAGGGAGACATAGACATGGCTCCATGTATTTCCATGTTCAAGACCGACACCGACGACGAATCGGTCTCCTGCTCATGTTCAGGTGTTACACCCTCTGCAGATCCGACAACTCCACAAACTCGCGTACTTCTGTCAACACCGAAACTACATCACCAGGTTACGTACAAGCAAATGTCAGACCTTGCCAAGTGCAACACATCCTCCGATCCAGCAGACGTCAGCCAGTGGCTGTCGAACTACTCTGACGGTTTGAAAGGGTGCGCCACAGCCGAGCCCTGAACACCATGCGACTGTCAACTTTCTGCTTGGGCGACTCCTGCTATGATTGTTTTTTCAAGGCGGTGGGCTTTACCAGGAGTCAGTGACATGGCTCTGAAAGTGCAACGATGAAGGTACAAGGACAAAGAACCATGGTCACTGCTGTCCATCCTGCCTTGGGGATCGGTCTGCAGCATCACATCCAACCCCCGCAACAGCCCCGCATAACACCCCATGATGCTTCGACGACACGACTCGCCCCGACTCGCCCTTTGTGACAGGTCGGGGAGTTTCAAGTGAAGGGAGGACAAGCTCTGAGTTTTTGAAGCAACAATGAGCGCTGTCTAAGTCGCTCGCTGTCTCAACGACGCTCCGGCATCCCGAATGAACATCTGAGACTCGGGCATGCAACGCGAGCGCTTTCACGACGGACTCAAAGAGCACTGCTACATGGCTGCTCTCGGAAGTCTTGAACAAATTCGGACAGGAGGGCAGACTGCCGTGCTGTGCAGCGCTTGCAAGCAATATGCACACCCTTCACTACCCAACCTTTCGCGAAATGTCCCTTGCTCGCCTCAAGCGTAAGGAATCTGCAGGTGTCTGTTTCAGAACCGCTGCGAAGTAAAGCACTTAAAACACGATGCAAACCTCGGTGCCTTTGGCAACGGGATTTGCCAGCAGTAACTAAATTTATATGAGCCGCTTGCAGGTGGAGGTAGAGACTTCTAACAAGCAACTATTTATGTTTGTGCTATTGTTTGTGTTTGTTTGTGTTTTTATCTGCGCCGTCGTTGTGGGTGCGATTCTTTTGTACAGCAATCTCTGATTTGAAAAGATATTCTTTGTCTGCCTCTGATCTGGATTTTTCTTGGGAAGCTGCATGTTTCCCTGATTTCCAGCTGATGCACGTTGAAGATGCAGCTTTCCTGAGAATTTCCTGCTCTGGCTGCTGGATCCACTCCGGCTTCTCTAATCTGTTCTAATCTTTACAACGATGTTGAAACTCTGTCATGGAGAACGAGGGAACATCAGCGACAACAACGTGCCAGACGTACTTTTTGCACGCGCCAATTCAACAAGCTGTGTGATTCGTGGTTGGCACCACACCCGACGGTATACGAAAGTTTTTATTTTTATCCGAAGTCGCTGCGCCTTTCACGCGTCGCTCTGTCAAAACAACCACTTTAACATGGTCCACACATGGACACCCTGCGTGCTCGGATGGGGTCTGAGCGCACGTTAACATGGTCCACCCATGGATGCTCTGTGTGCTCGGGTGGGGTCTGCGTGATGGCGTGGCGTGGTAAGGTGCGGTCTGAGTGGACGGTAACATGGTCCACCCATGGATACTCTGTGTGATGGGGTGGGGTCTGAGTGGACGTTAACATGGTCCACCCATGGATACTCTGCGTGATGGGGTGGGGTCTGAGTGGACGTTAACATGGTCCACCCATGGATGCTCTGCGTGATGGGGTGGGGTCTGAGTGGACGTTATTACGGTTCCGGCATGGATGCTCCGCGGGAGCGGATGGGATCGGAATGGACGTTCTTGTGGTTCCGGCATGGATGCTTTGCGTGACAGGATGGGGTCGGGGTGAACGCTATTATTACGGTTCCGGCATGGATGCTCTGCGTGAACGGATGGGGTCTGGTTGGACGTTATCACGGTGCGAGCATGGATGCTTTGCGTGACCGGATGGGCAAGCACTCTTTATCCTCACCTCTTTCGCAGAGTTAGCTCCTGAAACGGCTCACATAAAACTAAATCGCTAATTCCACCACATGACACGTCTCTCACAGCATCGACTCTTCCTTTCCACGAAGCACTGATCGCTTATCGATGAATCGAAAGCTAGAGGCTGGAACCTGTAGTGAGACATGCGAGGCGGAATTGAATTTCAAGTAGAATTCACTTTGGGAGCATTAAGCTCATCTCATGTTTCAGTGCAGTAAAGTAATTGAAGTCGGCGTCCTCACTGTGGCCGTTCTTATAAAGAAAATAGGCGCGTTCCAAAACACGCCGTTCCAAGCAGCACCCTAGGCCGCGCTCGTGGGCCTCCCGCGCCATCTCATCAGTAACCTGCAGGACAGCCCCGACTCCCCAATTTCAATCCGAATCATCTTCTGTAGCCACTATAGGCCCTCACTACCCCGCCGAACTTCAGCAACTGACTGAAGACAACCTGCCTGAGACGACGACGAACAATGTACCATCGTGCCGAAAACTTCGCCAAACGAAGCCGGGCTTTCTGGCTCGCCAGTGCAGGCTGATGCTGTCTCGTCGAGCGCATCACCGCTGCAGTGGTGGTGGTTACCAGTGCTGCGATGGTGGGCATCGCTGCCGTGGTGGTGGGCACTGCTGTAATAATGCTCCTCCCCGCTTCGGCGGCTGCTCTCCATCTCAACCGCAGGCACTGCGTGCTGAGCTGTACTGCCGTTTGGAGCAAACAAGAAGTTAGACATACACTGCGGTGGGAGGAACAAGAACTCCGAAAAGCTAGAGCTCTGCACCGGCACGGGTTGGGCGGAAGCGGACGGCTTGGATGATGACCGAACCGTCCCTTTTTGGGTCGCATTCTTTTTTCCCCCAACGGTGTCTGTTGCGGATGTGGAAAGTGGTCTTGGGCTGATTGACCTGTGGTCGACATGCTCCGAGAAGCGAACTGTCTTCTTCGGCCTGGGCTTGGCAGGATCCCTAGCAAGGAGGATGGAGGCAGGAAGATGGCTGGCATCGGTCTTCGGCAGATCCAATGGCCACAAGCACAAGGCATCCTCCAAGCGAGGCCTGCCGCTCAATGCGTCTTCACGCTTCATGAAGGATATGAAGGACCCTCCGCCGCCAGCGACACCAACTTCTGGGCCTTCATGGTTCACGGTGACCTCATCGGCAGAGCTTTGCGACTCGTCTGTGTACTCGTCTGTGTACTCGTCTGAGTACTGGTCGGAATACTCGTCCGAGGAACTTTCCTCCGCCTCAGACCCGGAGTCATCCGAATCCTCACCATCTTCGGAGCTGGGTGGCCCGGTGCTCGGTGCATCGAAATCGGCCTCCTGCTGAACCAGGGCTTCAAGCTAGCCCTCTGTAAGCAAAGCCAGGGATCGGGTATATGATATATGTTTGGTTTGATGCATGATACAACACGTGGGCTCCGGATGTCGTTTTACGGCTTCTTGGCTTGTCAACTTTTTTCTATCATGATTCTGTAACCCAACTTCATCCTCCCATCCTTGTGCATCTCCTGGAACATCTCGGTTCGCAAGAGTCGTTTAGAGGCGTCAGAGTAGCTGCCGTTGAGGATGTGGCGGACCAGCAGCTTCTTCTCGTACTCGGATGCCTTGGCTTTGCCGCGCTCAAACTCCTCCTGGGAGAGAACACCATGGCCGTCCGCGTCCGCCTGCTGCAATATCTGATGCCTTGCTTCCAAGTCCTGGCCTTCGACTTTCAGACAGGAGCCGAGCTCCTTTTGCGAGACTCGGCCATCACCATCCCTGTCTCTTGGGTCGAACTCCTTCTTCTCAAGGAGGCACTGAGCTGCTCCGCGCATAGCGGTAAACAAGATGGATCGGACAACGATCCTGTGCTTGGCCTCATCTGCCTCTGCCTCGCTTCCCATCACGTCATTGTGATACTCAGCCGTGGAGCGATGTGACCAACCGTCTTCTTCAGCTCCTTCGCCTCCGAGGGGATGTTCGTCTTGCTCCGCCGAGCCTGAGTCCTGCACGAAAGCCAGGCACATGCACAGCACAAAAATACTGGAAAAAACCGAGCCCCGAGTCCTGGTCGACTTCGTCTTGTGATTCTTGTGAGTCACATGGAGGGGCTGGACACGTGAAGTCCCCACCATCCGGCACAGATAACTTTGACATGTCCAGCAACTCCTCCTTCTCGGCCTCTTCATTCGCGCCGCTGGCCTCATTTGCCTCTGCCCCACTGGCAATCACGTCATTGTGCTCAGCCTCTTTTTTGGTGCGGCTGGCCTCATCATCGGCAGAGTTTCCAGAGTACTCCTCCTCTCATTGCTCGTGGGAATCATGTGAAGCTGGGCTCTGTAAGCATAGCCAGGGCCAGGGATACATGATGCAACGTGTGGGTTCCGGATGTCGTTTTACGGCTTCTTGGCTTGTCTAGTGAAGGGCTCTAAGTCCTAGGTGAGGATCGGACGATTCGGCGTAAAGCTTGGAGTGAAGGCCTTTCGTTGCACTGGGGTATATCACTGGTGACTTGCGGCTGGTTTTGCACAAGCACCCAACTCACTGGAAGGGGGCATGTTCAACAAGTCTATCTTGCAAACCGATGCAAGCTGTTGCCTCCCTGCGGATGCGCTGTAGCATTGGTGCGCTATATAGTACTTGCACGGAGTTACAGGGACCAGTAGCCCAAGCTTCACACATCCGGGTTCCAGAGATTGCTCCTGGGAGATTTCTGTGCTCTCGCCCGGAGAGCTGCATTCGGGTGTGCGCCTAAGTTTGGGGCCTAAGTAGCTCTTACCAGCACAACTTTTTTCTATCATGATTCTGTAACCCAACTTCATCCTCCCGTCCTTGTGCATCTCCTGGAATATCTCGGTTCGCAAGAGTCGTTTAGAGGCGTCAGAGTAGCTGCCGTTGAGGATGTGGCGGACCAGCAGCTTCTTCTCGTACTCGGATGCCTTGGCTTTGCCGCGCTCAAACTCCTCCTGGGAGAGAACACCATGGCCGTCCGCATCCGCCTGCTGCAATATCTGATGCCTTGCTTCCAAGTCCTGGCTTTCGACTTTCAGACAGGAGTCGAGCTCCTTTTGCGAGACTCGGCCATCACCATCCCTGTCTTTTGGGTCGAACTCCTTCTTCTCAAGGAGGCGCTGAGCTGCTCCGCGCATAGCGGTAAACAAGATGGATCGGACAACGAACCTGTGCTTGGCCTCATCTGCCTCTGCCTCGCTTCCCATCACGTCATTGCGATACTCAGCCGTGGAGCGATGTGACGAACCGTCTTCTTCAGCTCCTTCGCCTCCGAGGGGATGTTCGTCTTGCTCCGCCGAGCCTGAGTCCTGCACGAAAGCCAGGCACATGCACAGCACAAAAATACTGGAAAAAACCGAGCCCCGAGTCCTGGTCGACTTCGTCTTGTGATTCTTGTGAGTCACATGGAGGGGCTGGACACGTGAAGTCCCCACCATCCGGCACGGATAACTTTGACATGTCCAGCAACTCCTCCTTCTCGGCCTCTTCATTCGCGCCGCTGGCCTCATTTGCCTCTGCCCCACTGGCAATCACGTCATTGTGCTCAGCCTCTTTTTTGGTGCGGCTGGCCTCATCATCGGCAGAGATTCCAGAGTACTCCTCCTCTCATTGCTCGTGGGAATCATGTTAAGCTGGGCTCTGTAAGCATAGCCAGGGCCAGGGATACATGATGCAACGTGTGGGTTCCGGATGTCGTTTTACGGCTTCTTGGCTTGTCTAGTGAAGGGCTCTAAGTCCTAGGTGAGGATCGGACGATTCGGCGTAAAGCTTGGAGTGAAGGCCTTTCGTTGCACTGGGGTATATCACTGGTGACTTGCGGCTGGTTTTGCACAAGCACCCAACTCACTGGAAGGGGGCATGTTCAACAAGTCTATCTTGCAAACCGATGCAAGTTCTTGCGTCCCTGCGGATGCGCTGTAGCATTGGTGCGCTATATAGTACTTGCACGGAGTTACTGTACAGGGACCAGTAGCCCAAGCTTCACACATCCGGGTTCCAGAGATTGCTCCTGGGAGATTTCTGTGCTCTCGCCCGGAGAGCTGCATTCGGGTGTGCGCCTAAGTTTGGGGCCTAAGTAGCTCTTACCAGCACAACTTTTTTCTATCATGATTCTGTAACCCAACTTCATCCTCCCGTCCTTGTGCATCTCCTGGAACATCTCGGTTCGCAAGAGTCGTTTAGAGGCGTCAGAGTAGCTGCCGTTGAGGATGTGGCGGACCAGCAGCTTCTTCTCGTACTCGGATGCCTTGGCTTTGCCGCGCTCAAACTCCTCCTGGGAGAGAACACCATGGCCGTCCGCATCCGCCTGCTGCAATATCTGATGCCTTGCTTCCAAGTCCTGGCTTTCGACTTTCAGACAGGAGTCGAGCTCCTTTTGCGAGACTCGGCCATCACCATCCCTGTCTTTTGGGTCGAAGGGCCTGACTCCATGCGTTAGCAGAGTCGGCGAAAACTGCATGAATGTGTTTTCCTTCATGCCCGCATTGGTGGCGCAGGGGCCAGTGCTGGACACATGCTCCTCATCGGCGGCTTGGAGCGGATGTTCGTCTTTCTGCGCCGAGCCCGAGTCCTGCACGAAAGCCAGGCACATGCACAGCACAAAAATACTGGAACAAAACGAGCCCCGAGTCCTGGTCGACTTCGTCTTGTGATTCTTGTGAGTCACATGGAGGGGCTGGACACGTGAAGTCTCCACCATCCGGCACAGATAACTTTGACATGTCCAGCAACTCCTCCTTCTCGGCCTCTTCATCCGCGCCGCTGGCCTCATCTGCCACTGCCGCGCTGGCAATCAGATCATGGCACTCAGCCTCTTTTTTGGCGCCGCTGGCCTCATCATCGGCAGAGATTCCGGAGTACTCCTCCTCTGATTGCTCGTGGGAATACTCTTCTTCACTTTCCTCGCCCTCTGGACCCTCAGATCCAGATTCATCCGAATCCTCATCCTCGTGGTTGAGGACACCCTTGTTTGCCCCTGTGCTGGGCACATCGACATGCTCCTCGCCGGAGCCTTCCGAGGAGTATTCATCCGAGTACTCGGAGTACTCGTCCTCCTCCTCGTTGTTCATCTTTGAAACCTCCGCATCCGTCCTGAACTCCTCCACCAGTACAGTGGGACTCGATTCCGGAGCGGATCCTTTTGAGCCGACTTGCTTCAGGCCGTAGCCGTCGAAGCAGCATTGCTGCGCCTCCACTTTGCATCTGCGACTTGCGAGAGCATGCCGCACTGTCTCCATCATGGAACAGCAGCCCTACACTCTCTGACCTGCAGACAATCCTCGTCGGCAAACTCGCTATGAAAAACCTGCATCACTGCGTATGAGCCAATTTCTGATATTATCTCCTGAAAGCGGATCTTTGAGCAGAAGCAGTGGCAGGGTGATCCTACACGAGAAGGAGGAGGTGCATGCCAGAATGGAAGTGGCAATGTGCAAGCAGCGAACGAACTTTCGGACTCAGTGAAAAAGCACTTACCATGCCCCGCGGCATTCCGAACCCACGTCCCAGACTTGATTGCCCTTTCAGCTCAGCCGGCGAGTCGTCAATCCTCGCGGTGCAGGCTCAGGAGTTGGAGAGCTCTGTGCAAACGAAACGAGCTCAAGCTCGCCTGGCCGTAGTCCACACGAGCAGATGGCTTCTTCTCGAATTCGCTGCTATGTACGGAACAGTCGTCTCGCATGGAATAGAAGGGTTGGACTTAGCACGGCGCGTTGCCTTTCAACCTTTCGATGTGCGGTGCGGATAGTGCGAGTTAATCACGGTGAAATATGTACCTTATCTAAGATAGTCAGGCTTTCAAAGTGCATAGATATCTGGTTCGTGAGTGGCTTGGCGGAACATGGAGGCTGGCAGCAAGGATTCAAGGATGATATGTCTGCATAGTTATTATTCGAAAGTCGGGCTCACAAAGTACATAGTTATGTGGTCGGTTAGTGAAGGTTTAGATGGGTCTTGAAGGAGATGTGGCCGCTTGCTTCATGAGAAGAACAAGGCCGTGGCGCACGGCATGCTGAAATAAATGGGAATGCGGGATTGCCCTGTGCAAACAACGAGCGAAGTCTCGGACTCACTGGAGGCCGCTAGGAGGCCGTACGAGCTCCAGAGCAAGATCCCATAAACGCGCCGGACCAGCCCCTCGCCGTCTTCGTCCTGACACCCGAGCCCGAGGGTTAAAATCAGCAGCTTGGCACGTGCACTCAAGCGATTCCTGCACCCAATAAGCTGCGGACACAAATCATGTTCCACATGTTCTCAAAGAGGTACACAAGAGCAGAGTCGCCTGCAAATGCGGAAGCATAAGCAGCAGACGGTTCTGGAGGCTTGAGGACTTGAGGAGTCTGCGACGTGGCGGCATTGCTGGCCGTACAGACAGAGATCGCATCATCCTCACAATGGAAGACTCCAGCATCCAACACTCTCGTCTCGATCTCATGAACATGTGAATTTCCAGAGCCGTCAACATGCTTTTCCCCGCATCGCTCTGTGCGTGCGTTGGCCACAAGCTAGCAAGCTAGTGCCCTGCCAAGAACCAGTCTTTGACGTCGGACAGGAACCTGATCGCATCGTTTGCATATTGGGAGTCGGAGATGTCGGGGTGATGCCTCAAGACGAAGGAGCGGAAGATAGTGCGGCGCTGCGAGATGGGCTGCCATCGAAGACTCCGAAGCTCGGCCTCGATAGCATGAGTGACCTCGGAGGCTTCAGGATCTTCTGGGTGCATGAACATGGAGGCTGGTGCCTCAGCCGGCTGCCAGAGGAAGAAAGCTTCTTTCAGGAGCTGCTGCCGCTGCAAGCTGAGCTTCCCCCTGCGCTGCTTTGTCCTCTGCTCCAGCACCCAGGCACCAAGCTGGAAGCCAGAGTTTGTGATATGGAAGGCAGGGACCGTCCGCTTGCGGTGCTGCGCAACATACATGCGAAGCTCTGACAAGCCTTGGGCAAATGTTTCCGAGTCTGGATCAAGCATCACCCCAAGACCTTTCAATCGGGCAACTTTATGGTCTTTCAATGCGCCACTTTCCCACTGCTGTCGCTGCTTCTGCATCCACGCGCCCAGCTCATGACCAAATTGTGTGGCAAGGAAGCGGACATTCACCCTGTTGTGCCGATCCCTGTATGCCAAGAGTCGGCCGAGCCACATATCCCAGGGATCTCCCAGTGTCTCCACACCCCGGGCGATGGCGATCTCAGCTTGCTTCCGTGCATTGCCCTCGTTCACCAGACTGCGAAGCTCGAAGGGCAGCTCATCCCACTTCAGGCGTCGATCCTTCCGGCCGAACTCCACAGAGGTTCGCTGCAGGGCCTCCTCCGCTCGCTGATCTTCAATGGCAAAGGCCATCCACACGGCGGAGGCATGGTTCTTCGCCGCACCCGCCACAATAATGGAGCCACGCGACTTCCCACTCCTCCACCTCGCCAAGCGCGGAAATTCCTGCGCCAGGTGGACATAATTCGGAGAGCTTCCTGCAACAAGAATGGCATCGATGGATGCCTCCGGTTGGTCGGCTCCCGTTGTAACGGTGCAGGCACCATGTGTCTGAGCTTCAAGCAGATGTGCCAGTGCTGCTGACAACCGAGGCTGGTCCGGCACAATGTGAATTGTCTTGATCCCAAGCTGGAAATGCAAATCTGCCAGTTCTTGCGCCACATCTGTCGCATTTGTTGAACGGATAATCTGCAAACCGATTGGCACCGTCAACCTGAGCCGCTCGGCATCCTCATGGGTCAAGCGATACACTTCGGGTCCAAACTTACTCGGTGGCGCTTCCTCAGGAAAGCCAGGCTCTTGACCAGGGGCTAACAAAGCGCCGGGAGCCAATCCAAACATATGTCGGCTAGAAAGGAAGACTCGTCGCCTCGCAGGGACGAGGTCTTCCTGAGCAGCTAGCGCATGGAAGCCACCTGCGCGCATGATGTGAGCATTTGCGAAAGTCATGATGTCAAGAGGCTGCTTGATCTTGGACTCCAGCATAGCCAGGCCAAGCTTCATAATGTGCCCATAGGGACACAGGAGGACCAGAGAAGAGTTCCCTTTCAGACTTTCAATGACTTCTCGCTTCCTCACCGAACTGTCTGACAAGTCCAGCACAGTGACCTCGGCAAAGTGCTCCCTGTAGAGGTCACGCGCTTGTCTCACCAACGGGTTTGGAAGCGCAAGCGCGGCCCGGAAGAAAGATAAACCGTTCAAGCTGACAAATGTGTGTAGAATCTTCAGGCTGACCTGCAGCTCACCAGCACCACTAGGCATCAAAATAGTCGATGCATTCGCTTCTTCGAGCGACGTGATGGCAGCTTCTGCAGCTTGGGCCCACACTCGCTCGTGTGGGTCATGACTGGGGTCAGCACTTGGACCGAGTACTGTCTGGGTCAATGTTCCTGCCCATCTCGTTTGTTGATCTCTTAAGCTTTGTCTTCCTGCAAGCCTCCGAGCTACTGGAGATAGGCCGGGGCCATCCAAGCCCTGTCCGATGAATGTGTTCTGTATCCTGCTCCAGCTTAGATAAGCTGTAATCACTGCCAAGAGCTTCTGGAGCTGCCACGTGCGGTTCGGTGCATCTCGGCAATGGCAATGGAGCCGAGACATGCCAGCAACGGGCCACCGTGAGGCTCGCTACATCGGGTCAGAGCTGTCGATGCTTTCTTCTGTTGATGGTTTGTGCCTGCACTTCAGTCTTCAAGTGGGCACAAGGGGACTTTTGTCTACGAATGCAAAGCCGGGATCCCGCTCCGCTATGGATCGAAACGTCGAGATAACTTCGTGCTTGCGTGACTAGTTTGAGCGGCGAAGGCTACAAAGGTCTGAAGCTGTCAGTCGCAATGCACATGAGGAAAGTGCGCTTGAGGAAGTCCGGTCCGTGACCAGGCACTGCTTGCCGGTGTCTTTGCTGATGTCGTGAACATAGCAAGGAATCTCCTGATTTCGGCTTGCACACCTCTGGTGTCAGACTTCTCCGAAGCAACACCACGGCATCGCCACAAGTCATTGATGGTCCTGCCCCACCTGATGTCCACAACCTTTCCACTTCAAGCAAGGTTCCTAAGGAGTTGGACTCTTCTCCATGTTCGGCCCGCCTTCCTCACAAGGGAAGAAACGCTTCAGAGCGGCCTCAGGTCACACGCTGGTCGCGGAGCACGAGTGACGTGGCCATGCACCGGGCACAGTTGTTGATGAACTCCAACTCCAAGTCTGCACAGTGCCTGGGTGCATGGGACCAACAGGGAGAGCATCAGGACAACTCAAGAGAAGAAGTCGTGCTCGAGATGAGACATCTCTCTCTCTCATCTGAAAGTCTCACTCTTGGTCACTTCTTTGCAACATCCTTCGTCCCTGGGCTCGGATGCTGACATTCCAATCCTTGCGCACATGTTGGCGCAAGACTCACCGGGCTGTGCCTGCAAAGCCGGAAGCCGACGGAGGGCCAAACTTCAGTGTCTCCGCCCTCCGCCGCGGAGCTTACAGGCTTACAGCATCTGACTTTTCTTCAAGCTTGAACAGGCAAAGAGCTGCCCGCGCCCTCCTCTGTGTTCTTGCCTTCTCAATGCGGCGCAGGAGGTGCGGCTCGGCGCGCTCGGCGTCTGGGAGCAATCCCTGGCCTAGCCGCGCACACCCTGGACGCATGCGATGACGGACCTGCGAAGCCCCTGCTTTTCATGCGATCTGCCAGGTAGACTCGCGCGCCGCTGCTCGGATCCCTGACGGCCAGGCCAGCACAGTTCGCCAACGCCCAACTTCCGTGAAGGCCTGGTAGAGATCACGCCACGATGTGCAGCTCGAGGTTGGGCCTCATGCATCCGCAAGAAACCACTGGCATGAATGAGTCCCAAACCTGCCTCCGTCAACTGCAGTTTCTGAGCAAGTTTCTTGTAATCTCGACCTTGCAATGAAGATCTTAGCTGAAATCCACAAGGCATGGTAGAGTCTTCAGCAGAGCTGTGGTCGGCACGGAAATATGGCAGCACATAAGCCTCCGTATCCATGCCATCCATGCATCATCGAAAGCTCTGTTGGCGCGTGTACCGCTTATACCATATCATACACTGTCGAATTGGTGCTCAATGTCGACTTCCTGCTCCTGGATCGTAAACGACTCCGTTAAGTGCTAAACTGCTAAAGCTAATAAACCTGACGAGCGAGACTGAGAGGTCCCTCATCCAAACTAACGAGCGACAGCTGCGTAACCTACGAAGGGAAGCTCGTCCCACATTGAAAACCCTATATGGCCCTGGCAAGACTGAGTTTAGC